GGACGTTGGATCGGGATGTTCGACAATCCCAGCGGCGCTTTCCGGGGCATTCAGCTTATCCAGGGCATTTCCGAGCAGTCGGCAGGCTTGCCCCTCCTCACGCGCTGGTGCCCAGTGGCTGGCGGGTGTCCAAGAGAAAAACCCAAACTCAGTCTAGCATCCGTTTCCTCTTGTGAAAAACCTAGTCCCTGTGAGGGACCTCGAGGGGAGGGGAGGGAGGGGGGCGGGTGTGGAGGAGAAGAGGAGGGGAGGGGAGGACCGTCCTGACCATCACATGCTGCGCAACTGTCAAAAAGAGGGCAGCCTATTGCCGAACTTTCTGGAACCCCTTCCTTCCCCTCCCTTCCCCTCCCTTCCCCTCCCCTCCCTCCCCTCTCCTCCCCTCTCCTCTCCTCCCCCCACAAAACGCGCACCACCCCTCCCCCACCCTCCTCCCCCGCCCCATCCCCCCCGCCAAACCTCCCCCCCCCCCCCAAAACCGCCCCAACACCGCACCAAACCAAACCTCCCCCCTCCCCCTCCCCCTCTTCCCCTTCCCCCAAACGCGCCTCGCGGCCCAGCTGGGCCTCGGAGGCCAGCACCCGCATGCGCTCGAAGGACGCCCTGGCCTTCCGAAAGGCGCAGCCGTGGAAGTGCCGCACCCCCGCCTCACCACCGACGCGCATCCCCCGCGCGTCGCGTCGCGCCAGGTGTCGCGCGGGCCGATTTTTCCGTTTCGGCGGAGGGAGGAAAACACCCGGCTGCGCTTGTTGTTTGTGTGTTTTTCCCTTTAAGGCACTTGACATCTTCAGCTTGAGACCAAAAAGGAAAACCCGCAGTGTTGCGGGGATTCGCCTTGGGTTTGCAGGGAAACAGAACGGAACACCATGGCTTTCAGGTTGAAACAGAAACAAACAACATTTGTTGTGGGTCTTCACCTTGCTTTTGATTGAAACAGAAAGGAACATCAACATTTTGTGGGGTTATTCGACTTGGGTGTGTTTTTTTCTTGAGCGTTGGCAAGCCAGAGGTGAGCATGTGAAGCCAAGGTAACATACCTGGGCACCGTAGGTAGACCCACCAACCAACGTCGAGCCGGCTCCTTTGAAAGTTGCTTCGGGACAGCTGGGTTCCACGTTGGTGGCTGGGTATGAATTTTGCTAAGTTGTGGGAGCCTTTGGTGGACGTCAATGGACATCATTTGGATGGGGATTGGGACATGCCTTTCTTGGTTGGCTTCAAGGACACCGAAAGCCAGACCTGACAGGTGATTCCACTTTTTGGGAAACCAACAAATGGCAAGGGCTTGCTTTTCGTTTCCCATAATGAAGTGGGTAAGTTAACTTTGGACTTCGCGTTGGGTGAAGTGTGCGGATGGATCTCTGCCCTTACGGCAGGGGTCAAGGAAAGTCACACTCTTGAGTGGGCCAAAAGGTGTTGGCCCAACATGAAATCCATTTTGTTGCCCTGCAAATGGTAAGGAAGTGACCAAGGAGCTCTGACTTGGATCAACCAAATTTCACACAGAGGCTCAGAGCTACTTCGTCGTCTAGCCTAGGGTGCAATTTTCAATTCGCAATGGGTGTCATGTCGGGGGTGTACAGGGCTCCCTATATTTCCCCTTAAAGCATCACCCCCACCAAGGGACACTCACCTTTGGGCCAAAAAGGTAATGCTTAAAACCACCAAAAAGGGACATAACTCGGGAGCCCTGGTGTAAGACAAACCAAAAGAACTTTCGCTTCTTCGAGGTATCGAGGCATGGCCCAGCCTCTTGCTCTTTGACGATGGCCTCTCGCGCCTGAGAGACATACAGCCCACTCGGCCCCTTCCAAACCCGAAACGACTTGCTGGACTTCGATAGGCCAAGGAGAAATGGAGTGACTCCTATGAACCATCCGGTTCCTCTGGTCTCCTTTGAGAAGGAATTCATTCCTAGGTTCGTCCTTTTAGAGGGAATTCCAAGACCCGGTTCATTGCCAACACCCGGAACGGGTGATTGTTTTGGAGCACCAAGACAACCAAAACCCGAGTTTGCAAGAATATGTTCAGGGTTGAGATTAGTGAGCAAAGGGGTGTGCCTTTCTTTACGAAAACCCCCCAAGATGGTGTTCCTTTTGGTTTCCCTTTAAACCCACCAAGAATCGGGTACCCTTCAAAAAGACTGACCCCAACGTCTAAATCCTTGGGCCCTCCCATTTTTCTCTGGGGGTGTCTTTTCGAGAGTGACCTGTTCACTTCCGAGTTCATTAAAACCGCGCGGAAAACCTCATTTGTTGGGGGTTCCCTCTATTCGGGCGTGTGTTTTTGAGGTGCTCAAAAGGAAAGCGCCCCACTTGCAACGCTCCCGATCTTTTGACACAACCATTTTGACACATGCATCTTCTTCAGGGGACTTCGCAAAACAAAAAATGTGGGGCGTTCCGCTTATCCAGGCTGGAATTAGAACCCCAGCAAACATATTTCTTTTTTGCCTGGGTAGTGGAAAACAAAGGGACCCCAAAAAAGCAAAAAAGCTAAAAGGGGAGCTAATTCTGGGGAAGTTATTTGCCTCTTTCCTGTAAAACCACAACCCGCGCAACAAGAAACACGTGCATAGGCTTTCATCTGAAGCACCGTCGTCTCATCCGCATCACCATCGACATGCCGCGGAGATGCTTTGCGCGGGCGCTCGGCGCGCGCCCTCGGCTTCGCCGCGGTTTTGGCTCGGCGTTTCAAGGGAAAAAAACCCATCCGGTGCATCCCAGTTTCAAGCATGTTTTTGAAAAAAAAATGCATGCTGTATTAAAAGGTAACCAGCCATTTTCCTTTTGTTTAAAGGGTGGTTCCCTTGGTTGCCTAGACAGGAAACTGGAATCACTGGGACAGGAAAGCTGAGCAGTTTAGGGGATCCCTTTCAGGATGCCATCCTCGGGCCAAATTAGTTGTGCGTCCAGAGGACACGAAAATTGACCTCTCAAACGGCGCGTACACCACTGCCATAGTTTGATCGAGCCGCACATGTGTGGTTGTCAAAACAACAATGCAAGCATCAGGAGATGTGGGCTTCATCGTGGGGTCGCTTGAAAACATGCCTGCAGCTAACAAAGCCAACAGTACTTTGACCGACGATTTTGCTCCGTGCGTCGCCGTCTGCGCGTTCGCGCAGTCTGAACATTGAAGTAAGCCTTTCGCGAAGCTTTCGGGAACCAAGCGATGTAGGGAGTTCCTTTCGCCAAAGCAACTTAGAGAAAACCGGTTGTAAAAAGATAATGGCTTGCTTGTTCGGTGCGGCTCACTTGGATCTCTGGTTGTTTTTGTTTCCGCTTTAGAGAAACCATAATGGGAAGGCTAAACAGATTGGAGGGACCCAAAGCAAAGGAGACACCTTCGCCGCGCAAGCCCCGGCTCGCGGCTGAGTGGCTTGGAGCTCAGGAAGCCCCGCTTCGCTGGCGGCGCCGTCACTGGCGGGGTGTCAGGCAGCGGCTCCGGCTCTGGGGAAGTGGTCGGAGAGCCTGCGAAGCTTTGGACAAAGAACCGCGCCTCTCAGTTCGAAAAGCAGGCAAGAAATCTCGCGGCCCGATCTGGCGGGAAACGATGATCGATCAAGTTCAGAAAAACCGCCTGATGAAGTGGGTGAGAAACCCACTTTGCCCATGTTCAACAGTGTCCGACGGCAAGTGATGCAGAGCAAAACAGAGCCTCCCAAGATCTGCCAACCTGCCCACGTTCAAGTCTGCCAAGCTCTGCCAACCCACATCCAACGACCAATATGATTTGGCCCGCCCTGCTGCTGTTGCTGAGCAACCCGGACAAGGTTCAATGAAAAAGGATGAAATCAGCCCTCAAGTGGCCAGACCAAGTGACAGCAACCAGACTTTGTTCATCGCTCGCGCAGAGTTTTATCCCGCCTTCGTCTGCTTCCAGTGACGGGAAGAGCCGGCGCCAAAAGAAGAGGCTTAAAACTCCGGCGAGCCACGGGAAGAGGGACTTGCACCTCTCCCAGAAAGCCATGGCTGCGAGCAAGGCGCTTTGGCGATTTGGAGCGATTCGGCGCGAGGCGCCCAGCTAAGGTCTAAGAAAGTAAACACGACGATGTTGACCTCAGGGATTAGATAAAACAAGACTCCGGAATGGATATCACTTCTTTTGCAAGAGGCTCCTTCTGAAACTGCCTGAGCTAGGCAAGTCTTGGAAACTGAAACATGCAAGCTTTGATAAGACTGCATTCAGGGTCCCGAACGATTTGGGCGAAAGAGTCTCAGAAATGTGTGTGTCTGCATGTTCTGGACACTCCCAGGTTGTTTCTGCACTGATCTCCTAGATCGCAGCTCTTGGAAGCAAGCAATGTCCATCCGAACGCATCCGCAACTTGTAACCTGTGGCAAATGGATCCCAATGGGTCATGCGGAAGTCTGAAACATGCGCAGAAACTGGCAAAGACACCATGGATCCATGGGACGTGTCGCAACTGGCAAAACGACTTCTGTCGAACCTCACACGTTAACAAAATAAAATAAAAAAGAAGCCTTGACGGGACCTCCGCAGCACCCCCAAAGAGGTGCAACTTGGGGAACCTACGGAAGGCTCCTATGGTCACGACCTTGCAGCCCAAAGGATTAAACACCTAACTTCCACCGTAAACAAAGCCGTTGATTCAACGGGACCCCGAAGGTGAGAAGTTTACCACGGGGAAACACTTTGCGGGACCCCAGGAAGCTGCACTGAAAGACGAAAGGTCCACCCTCTTCCTTGTCTTTGCTTCCCGGAGCCTTCCCCTGAAGTTGAATCTTTGGGCTGCTCTTTTTTACCACCCCAGCCAAGCCATTGGGGGGGTACCTGAATCCAAGGTCCTCTGCAAAGCACCATGGCAGCAAAACACACAGTTCGTGCTGAGTCCCCAGCCCCAGATTGGCTCCGCAACCTATTCCCAGTCCTTCCGTGGCCTACAAAAAGGGAATCCCTCTGTAGAGCCATTCCAAATGTCACCACACGAGGGCTTCGGCTGAACTGGACATGCCCCAATGCCCCAGGCACCCAGCGGCACGCAGGAGGCTCAGCACCATGTACAGCCTGGGGTCCATGGCCGGGGGAGGGGTTCAGACGGTGTCTTTGTGGCTCTCTTGGGCGGAACCGGCCCCTTGTGGCTTCCTTTTACCGGGTTGCTCGAAATTGGGGATCATGCATCATTCATCCGTTTGACACCACTAAAAAAACACTCTGGCACAAGGATTAAAGCTTGCATTAGTGGTCTCATGAGTTTTTAACTGTCCCACAGTAATCGGCCGTTGGCAGTGACCATGGGAAACAAGGGCAGTTCTTTCAAACAAAAACGAGACCCCCTCGAATGGGTTCATAGAAGTTGTTCTTTGGAAACAACACCTGGCCAACAACAGTATTTCATGCTGTCTTACTTATGATGCTACCCAAAAGTTCTTGTGGCAACAATCGTGATCATAGTCATGACTGATTATGGGTGACTATCTGGGTTTCCCCCTGAAATGCCATTTGCTTAAGCCACCTGGAAAAAATATATTTCCAGTAGTGATAGATTCCCTTTAAAACCAACAGGGGAAAATAACAAATCTTCTTAAGCAAATGAAAGTGAGCAAAAGCTCCAAGCTTACTTTTGTCGGTTTCATGGAACAGCCTCTGGTGTCTGAATTGTCTAAGCTAGGCTGGAATTCGGACCCCAGCAAAAACATATATATATATATATATATGTGTTCGCCTGGTTAGTGGAAACCAAAAGGACCCCCCCCGTCCCAAAAAAAAAGAAGAAAGGGGGAGCTAGTTCTGGGGAAGTAATTAAGCCGGTTGGCTCCTCCTCTCCTTTCTCTGACTGAAGGCCCCTGTTCGAGAAAGGGATTTGCTCACACCCGCTCCGGCCATGAAACCTGGAACAACCCCCCGGGGCCCTCCCCCCGCAAGTTCAGACGTGAGTGGACCGGCCGTAACAAAAAATTAACCGCGCGGTTTGTTAGACCAACATGGTCCTGCAAACAATAGTTGTTCAAGTCCATGAACTCAGGAAATGAGACTATAGGTAACCAGCCATTGATTTGTTGTGTGCTTAAACATATTGAAAAGGTTGCCAGCATGTTTGGTACCAGCATTGTTGTGTCTAAGCGCTTTTCCTTTTGGTAAGCAGCATTTTTTGGAGGAGTCGGTTCCAACATGGCCATGGGTTGCATAACCTATGGCGATCCCATTTTGAGGTGGATGAGTTCAATCCATTTGCCACCTGTGATGTTCACCAGGGGTACTACTGGGTCTTGACAACCACAGCCACATGCTCAGTTGCCCAAAGGACCTGCAACTAAAAGGAAAAATCCTTTTGGGGGCATGAATAAATATGGACCAAAATGGGAAAACCAAAAGGTCGAAAGGTCGATTCGCTTTGAACCACTGAGCATCTCTCCGGTCCCCCAAGCTCTCAGCAGGCCGCCATGGCTGATGTCCAGGCCGCCTCTTTTTGCGTGGAGCGGACCTCTTTCGGCTTTCCGCTTGGTGTCCCTTTCAAAGCAAAACCCGAAAGCCGAACCTGGAGAAAACACACAGACCCATGCCTGGATTTGAGTCGGTGAATTAGTTACGGCCAATTTTGGGAAAACCGGTTTGAAGAAAACCACCCATACTTGTTTGGGGGGGGTCTCCCATTTGAAGACACTCCCCCGTGTGCTTCCCCTTGCACACGGCTTGTTGTGACAAGCACATGCCATAAACAAACACATTGACATGTTCGAAGCACCATCAAAGCCGGCGACAATGTCACAGGGTTGAAATCTAGGCCGGTATGCCTTGATCTGCTGTACCGGCACTGGTCAAGACACTGCTCACCCTGCAGCCTGCTCTGGCCCTTTTGAGAAGAACTCTTCCATCGCGCTCCATTTGGCCCAGGAGTCATGGGCGACTTCAAGCGACCACGTCTCGGCGCCACTTCACAAGCCGCTTAGTCGTGGTGTGGAGTGGCGAAATTCTCTGCGCAATCCGATGGGTGCCAAAGGGCCTCTGGAAAAACTATTCAACTCGTCATTTTGTTTGGGCCACGGACAATGACATCATATGTGTGTTGAGGGGCCAAAAACTGTTGGCCGGTTTCCAGGGGGAACCACAAAAGAAACCATCATGGGCTCCAAATCCTTACCTAGGTCCTCCAGTAGAGAGGATTAAACAAAAAGGTTACCCTTGTCTTTTCTGTAGTCTATTTTTTGCGCAGGGGAACCCTCCCCAAAAAAACGGGGAAAGGGCACTAATTACTGGGGGACCTTGCTACAGTACCTTGTTCGGAACATCGGATGCCTCCAGCGCAAAGGTTCTGCAGCAGCAGGAAGCCGTGGTCCGGGCGTTGCCAGCCTCAATCGGACCCACCTTCGAACCAACCAAGAAGGTGCGCTTCCGCCAATGAACATGGAACCTTCCATGGCCATGGAACGGTCCTTTTTGGGAAAATAGCCATGGCCCTGGTTAATTAAACCAGGTAAACCAGGAATCGACCAAACCAACCAAAAAGGACACCTATGGACAGGGGTCCTGGAAGACCATTTTCCAATTCAAGGGTCGTGCCAGGTTCCATAGGCGGGAGCTGGTAAATGGAAAGAACTAAAACCTGCGGTCATTTTCCTGGTGTTGTCTTTTTTCAGTTTGCCTCTAAATGACGTTCTTTGCGTCAGGGGAGGGAACCTGGTATCACAGAACTGAGCTAAAAGGCAAGGTTTGCACCGCACCCACCGGTTTAACTTAGATCTCAACAAAAGGGAACATCGATTCAGGGTTGCAAAACCAATTCCACCCTGAAAAAAGCGTCCAGGTGTTGAGCAAAAACTGGCAAAGGAGAAAGTGTAGGAAGTTGAGAGGAATGTGCGAGGAATGATTCCACCCCCATTAAACCCTTCTTGCACGCCGAGGGCACCATCTGTTAGGACAGTGGGAACCTCGCCATTCCATCCAATCGTGTTGCGCTTACTCCCGCCTGCACGACTCTCAAAGCACTGCCCAGCTTAGATTCTAGGGGTACCTTCCCCATTCTTTTCAGGGATCCTTCTTTTCAGGAAACCAAAAACCCAGGGAAACAGCTGGTTTTGGAAAAGAAGGATGGTTGATGGTTGAGAAGAATGGGGAATCAACCCCTAGATAGATGCTCTCTCCTGCTCTTTAACTCTCCAAGGGACAACCAGCTAGTCGAGCGGTGAATCGTGCTCCGTCCTTGGACATCTTCTGCGAGCAAAACAGGGGGCCCGGAAAAGCCTTCAACAAAAAAACCCGTCCGTAAATGGACATCTGCAAACAAAACACTTGCCCTGAAAAGTGTTCAACAAAAAGCCCCGTCCAATTCTGATTTTCTGGGGGACAATCACAACATGGACCATTTCAACCATCACCCTCCAGCCTCCGCCTGCCAAACCCTCTGTGTTTAAACCCCACTGTGAAAAAAAGGCAGCCCTTGGCTCCAGAGGGAAATGCAGGACACCCTGGACGATCCTAAAACAAAAAAGTGGTCGAATACTGTCCCCATTCTTTCCTTGGATCCTTCTCGAAAACCTCAAGAAAGCCAATGAAAACGACTGGTTTTCAACCAAAAGAGCGACCTCCATTTGGTTAAGACCCCTGGAAAAGAATATTTCCACAGTGATAGATTCCTTTTAATACCAACAGGTTGGAAAATAACACATATTCATTTCAGCAAATGGAAGGCAATGGTTGAAGAGAATGGTTGGAATCGACCCTTAGAACTCCGCATTTCCTGATCTCTCCACGTCCGAGCGGCACAAGGCCAGTACTGCCGCCAGGCCGTGCGGTTGCAAGGCCTGCAGCGCCTGCACCGCGTCACGTCCGAGTCGGAGTCGAGTCGGGTCATAAAAAATGGGCCGTTGAGGGCCGAAAAAGATTGGACAGCATTTAATTACACCAGCATAGACCCCAAACAGCAGTGCTTGCACACCAGCACATGTGTGTTGAGGGGCCAAAACTTGTAGGCCGGTGTCCAGGGGGAACCACAAAAGGATCCATCATGGGCTCCTTACGATTACAGTACTTTGACATGGCCATGGGTCAAAATCCAAATCGTACTTCCAGTGAACATCCCAATCCTCACTAAAATAGACTAAAATGGGTGATGCACCTACCCCAAAATGGTACCATTTGGGTTGACCCAGGGCCATTTAATGAACTGTCCATCCACATGTGTGTATGTTGTGGGTGTTGCTGTTAAAAATAAAAAAAAACACAGCAATAAAATCAATAATTGCATGGGGTTTGTGGGCTTGAACACCAACTTCAGTCATGATCATTAAGATAATAACGCGTATAATCATCTGGCTGCTTGTATTACCCTTCCCCTTCCCGCTGACCCAGTCACATAAGAAAGGGGCTTGTTGAAAAACAAGCTATTAGACATAAACAATCCAACAAGGGCTTGTGAAGCCACATCCAGCTAGGGGGAACCGGTCCTGCAACATAGCTGGAGTGCCTGAAAAGGGCGAGAGAGACCCGTGGGAACTGAAGACCCGGCGAGAGGCATGCCTCGCCTTGCGCTTCTTTTCACCCCTTCCGTTGGACAAACGAAGCGGGGATACGGACAGGAAGCGGGTCCCGATATGGGGGGATTCATTCCAACTTGGCGCCGTTTTCCAGACCCAGACTTCACGGTGCATTTGGGCGGAATCCTCCCATATTTTTGGTTCCCCCTGTATCCCTGCCAGTTGGTTTCCCTGATTCCATGTTCTGGCGCGTGGGGGCAAACCAGATCCCCCCCGTTAAAAATGGCTCAGTGGGTTAAATGTGGAAACTACCACTAAACGCTAAAAGGCAAACAAAGCTAAGGGGATGGCTGGGGAGCCACCCAGAGAATCATAACTTATGTCTTCTGTTTCGTTGATTCAGAAAAGCTTGATCACGCCAACACGTGCACATAGGGCAAGACGGCGTGTCCCAAGTGATCGCCAATCGGAAGGCGCTGCATCACTTGCCTGGACATGCAGCCCAAGGATAGCAGGTGGCTGGCCAAAGGGCGAAATCGCGGCAATCGAAGACATACAAGCAAGAGAGAGTGGATTCTGAAAAATGGCTAGTTTGGATAGGGAAGCCCCGCCAAAGTGGTTCATGGACATGGATCCCCACCTAAGTGATGTCGACCAAGCTTTGGTCCCTCATTCAAATTCAGACGCTGGTTGAAGTGTTGTGTCCTGTATAAAGTCCACGGACGCTTTCTTGGGTCCGACGGTCGACCGGCCGACCAGCCTCAGCCCGCAGCTCCTCGTTGCCAGCCACCACGTTGGCCATAAAGCTTGGCCTGCCAGCGCCGCCGGACATTCTGCATGCGCCGTGCTTTGGGGTTGCTTTTTAATCGGAACCCAAGGGTGTTTTGGAGGTTCCCCCCCATAAACCCACAAACCCACATAGGGGTCCCCTCAAACGGTTGGCTTCCTTTTGGCTGCCCTTCTAAATAACAACTCCAGTAGTAACTAAAAGGGGATCCGTCGTTTTGATAATCTCTCATGCAGGTCTTTCGAAAAGTGGGGGACGGGCTTTGCTGTGTCAGGAACATCTTCAAAAAAGCAGCGCCAAGGGGGCACCATGGGTCAGCGATTTTGACCAGCACCCGTTAAACCTCCTCCACAATCTGTTCAACGAAAGGCATGCGAGATGTTACGTTGACTCGCAAAAAACACATGGACGTACTGTCTGCCCACTCTGAGAATGCTCTCAAACAGACACATGCTCCACGCTCATTCTGAATCCATCAATTTCCCTTTGAAGGACCCGCCTTTGCCCTTGGGCCTCGGGACAAGCAAGTCCTCGCTCCCGACTTGTAACTTGACGTTGTCTCGCCAAAGCCCCAGATCCTTGGGTTCTGCCCGTAGGAATCGAGATCATAACCATCATTCGGTCTCTGTATCGAAACGCAAAAAGCCCACGCCTCCCTTGAGTGGATTGGGCAAACAAAAAAGGGTCCAAACTTGTGATTTGCCACGAAAATGGTCCACACCTTGAGCCTCTCAACTTGTAGTGAAATGGATGAGGATGGGGTGTTTACATGGGAGCTGGAGAAACACAAATTCTTTTAGCCCCAAATGGTCCAAGCCCAAACAGTTTTAAGTCCAACCCAGGAACTTGGAAGTAGCGGAACCGGTCACTAAGTGCCCTCATTGGGGCGCCGGGCACAGCCTCGCACCAGGCGAGGGATCTCTGGCCACCAGGCCTGCATCTCGAAGCGAGGCCGGACGTTCAATCGGGTTGGGTTGGAACTCAGATGCCCAGCGGATTTCCATGGCAAAAAAAGAATCGGCATCCTTTGTTTTTTTTGGTTGGTTGACTGTAAAGGGGAGCCCTTCCCAAAAAAAATGAGAAAAAGGGCACCACTGGGCAAGTGGGGGAAAATCTAGAGGAGGTGGCCCCAAGACACCCTCCAAACAAGCTGTTCTCCTGTCGAATTCCAACCCTTTGAGACCTGGGTTCGCTTCCTGGGAAACCTCAGAACTCTGGACCCAATCACGGGTTTTCGGACAAAGCCCGCTGCTGCCGTCTGAAAAGACTGAGGGTATTGTCAGAAAGCGCGCAGAAAAGGCAGCAGCAAAAGCCCCGGGTGCCCCGCTTCATCCTTCCAATACAGACTGCGGCTCAAGTTTCTCAAAGCATAAAATGGGCGGCCGCAAAGGAGAGCAAGCAAGCCAGCCCTGAGGGGAGCCCCCAATTTTAGGAGTGGCCAAATTCAATGGAACATGAAGTCTCCGAGAAGGCCAGGGGCTTTAGAATTGGTAGAGAGCCAGGGTCGAAGTGTTGGGGCTGAACTGCTTTCTCCTATGGTAGGTACCTCATGTATACCCCACATACTGTATGAATAAGTATTGGACAAAGCGCAGACTGAGACACATCCCTTCAGGGCTGTGAAAAATGACCACTTCTGTGATACATCAAAAAGGGCTTTTCAGAGAGTAGTTTCTTCTATAAAGGGGGGAGATTTTTGAAGATGTCATAGAAGTGGTTGGATTTGTACCCCAAGTGATCAACCACAACCATGCCATCCCTTTGCCGTCATCCCCTCACTTCCTGAGTAGATAGCCCCAAAAAAGTCCTAAACTTCTTTGTTTACCACTCAACTGTTTATCACCAAAAGTCCAAGAACTAACAGGTTTGACACTGAAGATATCACAGAAATGGATAATAAAGGCCTAAACTTCTTTGTTTACCACTCAACTGTTTACCACAAAAAGTCCAAGTTGGACAAACGAACAAGCGGGGATACGGAGTCCGAGCGGGGATATCGGGGGATTCCAACTTGGCGCCATTTCCCATCTCAAACTTCAAGGTGCATCAAACGGGGGAATCCTCCCGTATCCCTGGTTCCCCCTGTATCCCTGCTTGGTTTCCCAAGAACTCTTGGCCGTCAGTCCAACTTCGCCCTCCAAGTCCCAGGCTCCCCCCCCCATCCCCCCCCCCGCCCGGCGGCCGCCGCCGAAAACCCCGGCCGGGCCCCCGGGCGCCGCGAGGTCGCAGCGCGCCTGCACCGCCAGGCGCTCCACGAGGCCCCGGCGCCACCAGCGCGCCTGAAAGCCGCGCGAACCCACAGGCCTGCGAGAAGATAGATCTATGCGTAGAATATTATATATGTATATACATATCTCGGTGGATTTTGGGTGGGTGGGTGGGGTGAATATAATGTGTATATATATATATATATGGCCGTTGATCTAAATTCCTTGTTCCTGGAACGGCCATTCTTCGCGAAAAAAAATTCTCTTTCGCGAAACTTTCGCGACCCGCATCGCGCAGCTACCCTTACGAGAACCACCCCTTTCACAAGTAGAAACTGGAACTGCGAAAGCCGAAGAATGTCCAGGACTACGAATACGATGTTATTGGAGGCGCCGATAATCATACCCATGCCCTGCCGGCAGGTTTGTTGTATAGAACATCGTAAGGCAACCGCTCCCCTTAAGTTTGCCCCAGCTCGTATTGCTCGTATGCGAACAATGGGTGCGCTGGGGTCATGTGTTGTGTGCCACCATGGAGTTCCCTATAAAACTGCAAGTGGACGCAACCCTGTGGTGGTTCATGAGCAGAAGCGCAACAGCAAGTCGCAGCCAAATTTTAGCTGCGTTGGCTTGGTTGCCGTTAGTCTGAAGCACTGTCTGTGCTGCTCCCGGAAGTGGAAGAGCTAGAGCTCGAGGACGATCCAGCGGCATGTGTTAAATGCCGCTTCCATCGGGCACGGCGTCTTTCCAACGTCCGTGCCAAGCGCGCAGCCTTGTTCTGCCAGTCCAGAGACAAGCTGGCGTCAGGGATGGTGCGTTCCACGTGGTCTGCCCGTCTTGTCAGCACCGAATTTGTCTCTCCTCGGGCTGGTGGGGGTTGCGACCAGTTCTTGTTCCCAAAGTATCCACGCCGCCACTCCCTGTCTGTGATTGCGAGCCGCTCGAAGGAAGCCACGCTGGTGCTGCACGCTTCTGTTGGCTCCACATCAGCAAAGACTGTGTCCACAATTTGTGGTCGATTGAAATTCCGCCCTCCGTAGGGTCTCAGCAGCAGGGAGTAGGTCCGCTGGATTTTGAAACCTGGGCTGGCCAGTGTGTAGTGTGACTCCGGCTTCAGCTCTTTGTCAAACCGCCGCACTGTCCATTGCACACCGTCTGGGTCTCGCGCATTGTCACGCGCTGCTCCATCTGTGCAAACAGCTACTAGGCCATCCAAAGAACTAATGAGTTTGGCGCCTTGGCTCAAATACTGGTTGATCCACCCTTGCACGTGCGCAAAGATTGCATCTATCAAGCCTTTCCCATGCTTCTCGCCAAAATAATTGACTCTTGTAGGGCAGCGGTACTCCTGAAAGAATTCCCGCACCAGAAATGCAATGTGCTCATACGACCTGAAGTGGCCGCCACAATCGTGCCAAAGAGACAAGTGCTTGATGGCAGCTGGTTCGCTCATGAAAGCTTTGGCTTCTCGAAAATACTCCGCGGCTGCCAAGGATGTATGGTCAATGATGTCACTGAGAAAAATCACATTCCGTTGCTTGATGCCGGCCGGTGTGCCTTCAAACACGGCAAAGGCAATACAAGTCAGTTCTTGCCTTGCCGGTCCATAAAACATGGACGAGGTTTGCACTGTGGCCAAAGGAATGGTTATATTTTGTTTGAAATCCACCCACAGAAGGGCATCTCCAATGGCCAAATTGTTCCGTTGCTGGAAAACGGCACACGTCTGCCGGTCTGCCGAAGCCTTGTGCCAGTAATACGCATCAGCCACTTTGATTTCCCAGCGTAACTGATAGCACACCTGTGCCTCCAGCTCATGCAGGGCTTGGCGGTCCACTGGCTTCAGCTTCTTCTTCCGCTCTGCTTTCTGCGCGTTTGCATGTCCGTCAACGAACTGAAGCAACTCCTTTGCGCTGTCCAAAGCAGATCCTTCTTCACGCGGCACCCAGGATGAGAAGTACCCGGTGAACCGTTCTGCAAGCTGGCTTCGGGCTTCCTTCAGACACTTCTTCAGACCTGGCTCTATGCTGCTTTGCAGCAAATGGCAATGGTCACAGAAGTCTGTCAATCGTCTCGCAGGCTTTGCCCAGCCACAGTTCTCGACAAAGATCAAATACCACTGCTTCCAAGCGAGCTTCTTTGCGTAACCACATCTGAGCCACATCGCAAGCCGGGAACTTTGCAGAGTCCTTTCATTCTGGTTCCACTCTGGCAACCACACCGAGCTTTCTTGCGAGTTTGCCCGCACTGTGTCTTGCACTCGTTGAACCCACATGGGGTCCTTCACCTTGCTCGGCCTTCCACGAGGATCTTGGGACGCTACGCTGTCGCCGTACTTGGCCTTTCGCCATTTCAGCCGGGAGATTGCAACGCCCATGGCTTTCCATTTCTTTCGGACAGGGAGAGCTGCAGCTAAGCGCGCGTCCAATGTTTGGACGTTGCCTTGGCTGTTCGCCAACTGGGTCCGGTAGGTACCCAATTCCTCTCCAATCCTGCGGCAAATGTCGCAGCCAACTGCTGGAGGCTCTTGGCGGCCATCGCCTGCGAAGCTCCTTTGAACTGTGCGACGCAGCTTCTCCAGGATCAGTTCCGCGTCCTCGGATTTTTCTGCTTTGGCCACAATGTCATCTGCCAGCTTGCGCGCAAAGCGCGCCAACTGTCGCTTTGGATTTTTGCAACTGTTCCAAGGAGTCGCCCTAGAGCTGGCGGCAGGAGCGGCGCTTTCGCTTGCCTCAGGGGTCTCGGCCGCTTCCTCATCCTGCACCGCAGGCAGGTGTTCTTCTCCTGTCTCGGCAACATGGCCAGCAGATCTAGGCATCCCCCCTTCTGCTAGATAGCGCAGTGCGAACTCATCCGCCTTGTCTGCTCTCACCGATCTGGCGAGCGGACAAACCTGATCTTGCTCTTCCGGAGGCAACTGGTGGAAGAAGTTGTATGCCCAGTGCTGCTTGATCTTGGCAATTGTTCCTCCTTTCTTGTCCTTCTCGGCTCTGGCTGCTTCTATCAGGGTGTCCCCCAGCTGCCGTATAGTCTGCGCCCTGCATTCCACCTTCAGCTTGGTCACGTCTGCCGAAGACAAGGCATCAGCAGGCCGCTTGCGACCCCGCTGGCCCACTGTCTTGGCAGGAGCAGCCCCGTTGGCCAGCCATGTGCGGAAGCGGGCTGAGAGGTCCATGAACTTTCGCGAAACTTTCGCGGATCTTGCGCCAAACATTGGTGGAAATGTGGCTGACAAGTTGGATTCATCCGCGGGCCCAAAGGGGCCCTCAACACTTTAGCAACGTTACACGGGGCACTGTCTCATATTAGCTCGAAGGCTGCTTGGTTGCAAGAACACCATCTGCCACTCAGACCCACCCAGCGGGAGCACCAAACATGTTTATCTGAACCGCTGACCACAACAACAACAACAACAACAACAACAACAACAACAACAACAACAACAACAACAACAACAACAACAACAACAACAACAACAACAACAACAACAACACCCGCCACCTCCGTGCTGAACACAACACTGGCATCAAGGGAACGCATGCTGAAGCAAATGGGAACATGAGTGCTGCTATTCTCGATGGGCCCGTTCGTGTGGTGTGTTGGAGCTTCCCTGGTTTGGGTAGCAGTTGTTTGGGGTGGTGGTGGTTGTGGTTGTGGTTCTGGCTTTGATTCAGACGGTGGTTGCGTGAGTAAAGACTGGCAGCTTCAAACGGTATAGCAAGCAGCGACCCTTTTCGCTGCAACATGGGTCTCTCCGTGACACGCTTGCAGGCTGCTGGTGTCACACAAGCGGGGCTGTGTGCGCAGCCAGCCTTGACAACCCCAAGCCGGAAGCCAGGCTCTCCCCTCCCGGATCCAGCACCCCATTGCAGGTTACATCTTTCCCCAAGAGTTTTTTCTACTGTTCGACCAGCGTAGAACGCTACTTCAACAAACAACATTGAAACCAGAAGCTGTAACCCAAGAAGCAACTTACTTGCTCTTCTTCAGCAATGGGCCCAACAACTCCGCCAGTTGCTCTGCCTGACGTTTCAGAGGTCGGGCACGCAGCTCTGCAGCGGCCTCCCTCTTACGTCGAACCGCCTCTGCAACAGTCTCTCTCTGTTGGGGAGATAGCCGCTGCCACGATTGATGCTCAAAACCTTTCCGCATTTCGCGAAGGCAGTCTTCACAGCATCGCCCACGAAAAAAAGCAAGCTCGCGATCCACGCCGCACACTTCGCACGGGTTGGACCGGTGAGCATGAGCTTCTTTCCCTCCGAAGCCAGCAGCCTTCTCGCCAGTCGTGGGCGCCAAGTCCTTCTCCTTGTCCAGTGGCGGGGTTGCTTTGTCCTCCAGCAAGGGGCGGAACACTGGGCTGACTTATATAATTCTGCTGTGGGCCCTACCTGTGACTTATATCCTTCACCTTCATGAACCCCTACCTGTGTGCATGCATATCGGCATCCGTGCTGGCGCTTGCCCGCTGATGCATTTGATTTGTTTAGGGTTGTTTAGGGATTTCCCGCCTTCGAGCTTCCTGAAGGCTTGCGCTTCTCTGGGGTCACCAAACTGTCCACCACACTCTCTGCGGCTGAGCCCTGTGGCTGCTGCTTCGCCAGCTTCGGGTCGGTCTTCTTATCAGGGATTTCCACGGCAGCTGCATCCTGCGGCGGCTGCTTCTGGATCTCAGGCTTGGTCTCCTGAGACACGACTGCGAGGCAAGCCCCGCCGCGCTGGGAGGTTCACCAACACCTCCAAGGCCTCAAGCTCCTCCTCGCGGGAGGTTCACCAACACCTCCAAGGCCTGAAGCCCCCCGCGGGAGGTTCACCACCACCTCCAAGGAGTACCTCGGTAGGCAAACGAACACTGCAATTTAAGGGTTCAATCCGGTTCCCGTAGGGCTCCAATGCTCTATCTAGATAAAAGTGTGTTTGCGGGATATTAAAACTGGAACTTTGACCGCTCCCCCCTCATTCCGATTTTCGTAGGATTCCAATGCTCTATCTAGATCAAGGTGTGTTTGCGGGATATAAACATTGGAACTTTGATAGCCCCCCCTCATTCCGATTCACGTAGGATTCCAATGCTTCATCTAGATCACGGTGTGTTTGCGGGATGTAAACATTGCACACCCAGCCAGCTTTCCCACCCACCCTGCGGCCATCGCTCAACAACAACCCCACTCACAACAACCCACTCGGAATAAACACCCGGCCCCAAAAACCGGCCCGCGGGATGCGTCCTTGGCGCTGTCTCCGCTGGACGGCCGGCACTTGCGCAAGCATATCTGCGGGATTGCGAGACGTGTTGCTCAATCAGCATGCTTGGCTAGTAGATCTTAGGAAGGACCACCCAATGAACAATTTGAAATGACACTTCCACTGAATGATAAAGAGGCCAGCCTGATCACCTCCGCAAATGAGGCGTGCCACCGTCGCCCGCAGTTCAAGGTCCAGCGCGTTGGGGTCAACCACCAAACCATGTTTTGCAGCCTCCGCTGTCAGCTGCAGCTGCGACAATCTGGCGATTTGCGACGCCTTCATTGGAGCCAAATGCTGCGTTCAAATGGTACAACGTCAGCAAGTCTGCTCGCATGAAAACCACATACCCAGTCCCATATGTCCGAGGTCCTATAAGACCAGTGATTCACGTAATGCACGAAACACTTTCGCGAAAATTGTTTTTACTTTCGCGAAGTCCATCGCGGAGCTTTCGCGGGGGATCATGGATGGTACCAAATGGTCGTCCCCTTCATATTGTAAAGCAAGGACCTTTAGATCAACTCTCATATGTATATATATATATATATATGTCGAGGAGGTAAAGTGATCATAGATCATGGGAGGGGTGTGACCATATATCATACATATATATAATATATACATATTAAATATATATAATGCATGTTGTCAAACACAAGATGTGGAGATATACATGTATTTGTAGATACACCACTAGTTCTGTGTTTTTATTATTATTATGATCTTGTGTTGGTAAAATATGGTACACATTTGTGACCAGTGCGTATATGTGGTGTTGCGCGAGTGCTGTCCGCTGCAACGCCTCAAGTTTTTCAGTGGGGGCGCAATAGGCCTCAAGGGACCGTGCCCCCCGCGGAAGTGACATGTGAAGCTGTTTTGCAAATGGGTGACAACCACAGCCCTTTTTTAGGTGTCCCCCGATTTTGCCACATGCAACAATTTGGAGCCTCAGCAAGATAACTCCTCAATGGTCAAAGGATCCCTCAAATCGAGTATTTCACCAACCCAATTTAGCAAGGGCTTCTTGATCAGAGGTCGACATTCTCAAAGGACGGATTGCTTCGTGTAACTGGAGGATTGCACAAATGAGGATCATAAATCATGCCTGCCTGAGAATTTTACAAGGGAGCCGAAAGGGTTTTATCAGCATGAAGCAGCGCAAGAGCTTCCACAACTTTAGACGACCACCCTTTCCGCAGCCATCCGCGGCGAATCGACGGCGTCCCTTCTAGCACACCCAGCCCCAGGTGCGGCGGACTCCAAACATAGTGCAAGGAATTACACTGTGCGACATTTGGGTGTGGGCCAAAACTAAAACACCCGGAATTGGAACCCAGGTTTTAATCCTGGGTTCCATTTACCAGGGCAACTCATTTTGGGTACCCATTTTTGACCCACAGCCATTTGTTTCTGCAAAGAAGGTGGACGCCCTCAAAGTGGGTGCTTTCCTCTTCTTGGTTGCTTTCTGCTCCCCTGCTAAAACTTTAACTTTTAGTGGTTTAATGGAAAACCCTTTCGTTGGCAAAAAGTTAAAGTCCTAACATCCAAGCAAAATGCACCAAAGTTTTGGTTCAGTTCCATACAAGTTGCCCCGGCCTTCCTTCTTCAAAAGACCCACCCCTCGCGCCTGGATGTCCGAGCACCCCGCTGCGAGGTTCCGCGCCTCGATGCAGTCCTTTTCGTCTCCCGTTAAAGCCATTCCCAAAGGGCCCTCTCAAAAAGAAGCACACCCATTGGAGGGTCCAGGTGCCCATTTCAAAGGGGAGTCATGCCAAAAAGCAACCGTCAATCTTGTAGTGCGGAAGGAGAGATACACTGGGATACCAAGTCAACTGCCATCAAAAATGGCGCGCTGGACGCGCCCATCGTGATTTGTGTAACGTTGTTCAAAATGACATCCAATGGCAGAGGCACTTCATGACTTGTTTCAATCACATCATACCTCCAACCGCCAACCGTCAAAGGCAACGTCTCTAGTTAAATCATGTTCAATCAAACCTCAATCCAAATATCTGGAAGTGTGCTCCATGCGCTTGGAATCTGGCTCAACCTAAAAAGGGGCCGCGCGCAAGTAATTCAGTGGCCATGGGGCATAACCTATGGCGATCCCATTTTGGGGATGAACATCCATTTGCCACCTATTTTGATGTTCACCAGGGGTTTCCCTGGGTTTCGACCACCACAGCCACCCCGCCGTCTCCGATGTCTTGGGCCCCCGCCAGCTTCAAGCACGCCGCGCCGGCGGCCTCCGCGGCCAGGACGTCGGGCCCAGGCCTCGCTGAAGCTCCCGGGCTCGCGGAAGTGGACGGAGCCGAAAAAACCGCTGGAGGCTTAACCTGCCACCTGCACTTGGCCTGGTTGCTGTTGACCCCCCTGCAACAAGTGAAAATCACGTTTTTTTGGGGGGGGGTTGAGTGGAAAACCCAACTTGATTTCAACCAAAAAGTGAAAGTCTGAAGATCCAACCCAAGTAGCGGTCAAGTTGCTCACTTCCTGAGTGGATTGGCCAAAACGAGTCACAGAACTTGGTATTTGCCACTAAGATGGTCCAAGCCCAAAAGCAGCAGCTCGGAAAGTGAGACTTTGCCTGGGGACTCGTCTTTGGTGTATACCCTGGTATTCCCCCAAAAAAATCCAACTCTCGGATTTTGGCCCCAGCTGAATCTTTCGAACCCAAGGCTCGCAGCTTGCTTGAACTGCCACAAGCATCCTTTCAATGGTTGACCATGGGTTTTATTTAGATGGGCCCAACAGGAGACTGGCACGGCGTCTGATTCATGGTCGTCTTTGAGCTTGATCGAAGGCCCATTCGAGCGAAGTGAAGTCGACTAACCGCAAAAAGTCAAGTGGTTGCTCCCGCCTGAACGTAGTCTGTTCCTTGAAGTTCTCTTCTGAATTCCTCAGCCTTTCACTTTTATTGGTGTGGGAGAAGAGGCAGGTTAGTCAACTGGTTGCTGCTTGAAAGGGAAAACAAAGGAGAATTCAAAGGCAAAAGTGTAAGCTACGCTCGCCAGTATCCAGAAACAAGCGGAATTGTTGATCGCCCGCAGAAGGTACACCAAGACACATCACTCCCTTGCATTAGATTGTCGGGATATTCAGCCACGCCAATTTGTTTTCTGGGGTCCCTTCTGTTAGTGGGAATCCAGACCAGGCATCCGGTGGATGTGTGCCTCTACTGAACGGAAGAGCAATGATCCACGCGGAAGTGTCTTGCAAATGCCAAACACATCGCAACTTCGCCTTGAATTGTCCATGTCAAGGTTGCCGCGCGAGGAAATTATCGATGTTCTAACCCAAATCCACTTCCATATTCCAATGCGTCTTAATAAACTCTCCTACGTCATCAACCTCCCAAAAAGGCTCCCCTACGAAAGGACTCTTGATGAGATTTCCATGAATCCCTAAGAGTTGCTCCTTTCAACAACCTCCGGCCCACGGGGACTGAAACTCTACCCATGGGGCTCGGAGCAAGCCCAACTCCCGAGACCATCTGGGTGTGAGCCAAAATTTAAGCACCAAAGGAACGCGGGTTTTTGTCCATGGTTCCATTTGCCAGGGCAACCCATTTTGAGTACGCATTTTTGGCCCACAGCCATCTCAGCCACCAGCTGCTCGCTTGACTCCGAGAGCTTGTAACCCCCAGAGCCTCAGCTTCCAGATAAAGTACCCTCACTTTCCGAGTGGATGGCCCAGCAAAAGTCCCAACTGTTTCTTTACCGGTAAACTGGGCCGCCCTCAGATCCCCCGCTAAAAGGTGTAACTTTTAGTGGGTTAAATGGAAACTGCCGCTAAACACTTAAAGGCTAAAAAGCTACGGGGATGGCTGGGAGCCACCAAGAAAAATGGTCCAAGCCCAAAAGATGAAGCCCAGGTGGGGGGCTTCCTGGAAGATCAGGTGCCATGTTGCTGGGAAGGAGGGTAGATGATGTCCGAGCGTGAGATTGTCTTGACACGGTTCGAGCGCATCATGCCTGGCTAGGCCCTCCAGCGGAGAGGTTAGAATAAGGGTACCCTTTTTGTGTAGTCTATTTTAGTCGGGGAACCCTCCCAACCAAAAAAGGGGTGAGAAAGGGCACCTGGCTGGGGGCACTTTCGGCTTGGAGGGCGGGCATGCTGTAAGATGCATCAGCTTGATGCGTCATGCACCTGAGCTGCTGTACACCCGCGGTGTAACAAGGTGTGATGGAGTTCTGCTCAACAGCGGCTTTTTGTAGCTTACCTACCTTGTTGTCCGACAAAACACCAGGTACTCTTCTGATTGGCCAAAAGCCCTCCCACCAACTAACACGGAAAAGGGGGGGTACCATTCTCCTTTTACAGGAACGCCCCGGTCAAGTTCCATGTCAGTTGGTGGGAGGGTCGTATCTTCTGAGGGGCGCCCTCGGATCCGGATCCGAGTTCCCCGGCCATCCGGAGCGAAGCCCGCCAGGGCTGCCAAGCACCGCTCGAGCCTTCGGACATTCGAACGCAGCTGCGAGGGGGCGGTAACTTGCGAAGCTCTCTTCGGACTGGGTTCAACCCCAACCCTGAACCAACTTTATTCCATCCACAGTATTAAGGGGTGAATAAGGGATAGGCCCCCCTTTTTCCCAGTCAGAAAACGGGGTGGTTTCCCTTCAACCCACCTCTGAACGGGGGTGACCAACAAACCCTCCACCAACCCGAGCGCCTTTCGACGAAAAGACGCCCCCCTCCCGCCAGGGTCCGCGGAGTCCGGTTGGGGTGCCCGGCAGGTCACCCAGGCGCTCCAGCAGCGCCTCATCCTCCTGGAAGCCGCGCCGCTCCTGGGGCCACCGCTGCCCGGGGCGCGGTGGGGCTCATGGAGGGGGAAACCCCAGGCCAGGGGGGCTGGGGCTGCGACTTTTTGGAGTTTCCCCTTGGACCTGCGAGTCGGCTTTTTTTTTGCTGGTTCGCTGGTTTGCGGATTAGGGAGGGAGGTTCAAATCCCAAACCAATCTAAACCACCAACCGAGGTCAGGTGAAAAGGCTGGGCTGGCCAACATGGGTTGCGTTGGCCCATCCGATTTTGCATCCCGATAAAGAAGAAGTGTGCAACCCAAGGATGAAAAATGACCTTTGAACCAAGGTGAGCCTGGTTAAAAATAGATGGCACTGGTTTGGATGGGTTTTGCTCCATTTATGAGGGAAACCCATCTATTTTTCCAAAAGGCCCCCTATGCTTTGAACAGCCTGAAATTCATGGATTAACATTCATGACACCCGTGGCTGGTTCGTCCTTCTTTTTTGAGGGTTAGGAACTGACGGAAATGGCCGGGTTGAAAAGAAAAAACTGTCACATCTTGCGGGCTCACCGGGAATATTTTTGTCCAGATCAAAAGTTGATCAAGTTACCGGTGTCCATGTTTTTTCCATCGAATGCCACGTTTGAAGGCTGAGAGGGAGATGGAGGACACTACCTTGGGTGGGTCCGTTTTTGGAGTTGGTACGCTTTTTGGGGTTGGTTAAGGGAAACTGATTGTGGTGATTTTCTGAAAAAGGCACCTGGCGACGGGGTTGAAACTGACACCTGAGTCATCAAAAGTGAGCTCGTTTGCCTGAAGAGCCAAACTTTGGCGTGCCCCGAACATGGCGGTTTCCCGATTTCCCTTTCAACCAACCTCAGGGTACCCTTAAAAGATACCCCCCCCCCCCCCCCATTTGACATAATCAAAACCTGGCACCAAAATGGTGAACCCAAAACCATGTACAAACATTTTTTCAGGCGGCACCCATTTCTGGTTGGGACTGTCCTTCAACTACCCGGGTTTTGATTGTGGCTCACCTGGCATTGCCTGCGGTGCCAAGCAAATCTGGCCGCTCGATTTTACCCATCCGCACTCAGTTCGCCTCTCGCTCCAACCTGAGTCCAGCGTGAAGCTGACAAGCTAGAGCAGCCATGCCCAGTCAACTACCGGAAAATGTTCTTGGACAAACCTGCTGAATTTCTACTCCGAATGAAGCAGAATTCCACCCCTACCTACTCTTGCTCGCCCCAACATTGCCAACACTCACCACTGAAGCTCTGAGCAGCCCTTAACACCGCCAACGTTGGGAATGACACATACAACTGTATCTAGCATGGAGCAACATGCAGTGCGGTTGAGCCAACAAGCGCTGTTGAATAATTTCTCTGAGCTATGTATTCTATTTGCTGATGCGGACCGGCTGAAAAGAAAAGGGGACCAACGCAAAGTATGGCAGAAAGCCAAAGGGCGGTCCTCCTGTTGACGAATGTCAATGTCACATGTTCACTTCCATTGGCATTTTTTCCAGTGGATGTGGCGGGAACCAAACAGCATCGGTCAAAAGATCTTGAGAAACTCAAGCCAAGTTGCAGATCTGGGAACATCTCCTTCTGCACCTGCTTCCGAGACTCTTCGACGTCTTTGTACTCCTCACCTCACAGAAATGACAATTCGCAAACCAAAAACGCCAAGAAAAACATGAGAAAATTGATAACCATTGAATACGATCCAGGGAGGAGTTGAGCCTCCATGATTTGTGCTCTTGCGAGAGGCAAAGAAGAACAACGCCTCACCGGGGCAACTGGATCTGCTTGCACCCATTGACTTTGTGGCTTTTATTCGGCCGACAAACGTCAAATGCAAGACTCTGTATCTTCAGAGTTGAAAAATGCATCTTGCCAGTTTTTTCCAAGCGGCGCTCGGAGTCTGTCACAATGCGCTCGAAGCGGATGTGGGTGCGATTTCGGAAGTCCGAGTTGTCCGACTGGATGGTCACCTTGTCCCCAAACGCTCCTGTTTCAGATCCAGTTGGAAAAGCCACGGCGTGTCCCTCGAGGGCTATTTTCAAAAAGATGCGAGTAAACAACAACTGATGTACCCGGAGCAACCGGAGAAACCAGCGGGCAAAGGGATCCGTATTCCGTGGCAGGTCGCAACTACAACAAGAAAAGCTATACCAATCGCATAAGGATCAAGGATGGACTTTGAACAGCCCAGCTTTGCAACGATTCGCTCGATTGGATAGAATGACTGAGTTTCTGTCACCGCAACTAGAATCAGATGGATGCTTCCGAAAATGGGACCCGTAGATGTGGTTTGCTGTTCAAGGTCGAAGCATGATTCAACTAAAAGACGCAACGCGACCCACCATTGCAAGGGCACTTGAGTGGTGGTTGTCACCTTCCCCGAAGCTTCCGCGGTGTGAAGGGTACCTTCCAAGCATGTTTCTATACAAGTTTATACAAATGCTTCCGCGGGCCTTCCACAGGTAAGTTGCTTCTGGAAACTGAGGAAGATAACTTCCGCGAGGGAATGCGTGTGCACGGTTTGCTAGCAAACGTGCTTGCTATGCGTAAATCAACAACGTCCCTTCCGCGAGCTTCTGCGGGAAAAACCCTTCCGCAAACCTTCCGCGAACTTTCCGTGCGGCGCTACCTTTTTTTTCTTATTTCAACATCTACACATCTTTGCTTGGTCGGGGAGAAGAAAAAAAAAACGCCACTCACATCATCTATTATTTGCTTGAGCGGAAAACACATAAACAAACAAACACAAACCCAAAACAAAAAAACACCACTCACTCGAGTCCGTCGCTCGCAAGCTGAGCCCATTGCAATGATGTGGGCGAAGATATCGATCCGGCCAGCCTGGCAGTGCCGGCCCTTGATGGGCGGCCTGATGTCACACACACACTACATATAGATATATGTCTTATGTATGTGCGTAACATATCTACACATGTAATATGTAATCTACATATATATTTATTTGTATATATATATATGGCCATGGGTCCAAACCCCGTACCCCCAGTGAACGTCCCAATCCCAACTAAAATAGACTAAAATGGGTGGTGCACCTATCCCAACATGGTACCATACATACTTTTCTGTGTGTGGGGCGGATCAGCTTTTCCGGATGTTCCTTCATTCTCTAGAGTCTCGCCATTGCCGATCTGCCCCAACTTGAACTAGTACCTCCTGTGAATAAAAAGAGTCTCTCCATGTCTCTCCACTCCTTGCCAGGGATGGGCTGAAGAGAGTTCGATTGACATACCAGTGGATCTCTGACCATGGTACGCCTCTGTTTCCAAAGTTCAAGCCAGCATAGACCTTGACCACCAGCTAGGAACAAATCGAATCAGATTGAGGGGAAGCTCATTCACTCAGCCCCTCCTTTTGGCATGGATTGCACCTCGCCTCCCGAGGCCGCCGAAAAACCCAAGGACCAAGTCCAACTCGAGCGAGTTCAACCCGCCTCCTTCTTGCTCTGAATGAACTGCTCGTCCTCCCGCACCTCCCACTCCTCCTGCATTGCAGGCGCTGAATAAAGAAAAAACACCGAAGCGTGCGGCAGGCAGTGAACCCCGCAAACCAGCAGTGACTGCCCAAAACCTTGGATATGACTTGAGCAGACGAACCACGGAGCGCAGAATCCTGGCCATCTTCAAACAAGGCAGGATTGAGGGAGTGGTTCAGATGAGTCAGAATCAAACCCGGTATTAAAATGGTCCACCCAGAACCACGTAAAGAAATGAGAAGGCGGCCGCAACTATTTCTGGCTGGGACTGCCCTTTTACTCACCGGATCATCTACCCGGGGTTTGATTGTGGTTCAGATGGCCAGAGGCCAAAGCCGAAGGAGTAGCTTTTTTTTTCAGGCGGCCACAAAGAGGATGTCCGTGACCATGAAATTGGCCTTGGGCTCGTGTGACATCATTTGGCCATGGGTCAAAACCCAAATCGGTTAGCCCCCAGTGAACATCCGATTCAATCCAACCACGAAAATAGGCTATGTAAAATGGGTGGTGAATTCACCGAAAACCCACCAAAATGGGATCAACCAAAACGGTTTTGATCACCACAGCTATTCGTCTGCAAGAAAGCTCTGGAGGATGGTCAAATCCTGTTGGAAATGCAGAAATGCAGAAACGTGCGCCAGCGGGGTTTTTTGTGGATCTCAAGAGTCATGTTTGCGCGCGTTTTTTTTTTTTTTGCAAATCAAAAGCAAAGACTGTTCACCCGGGGAAAAAAACAAAAAACGCCTCATCCCACATCATCCCTCTTGAGAATCCCCCGTCTCTGCCATCCTCGGGATAAGGACCCCCCTCCACTCTCAATGTGGCTTCCCACTCCTCAGGCATGGCCACCACTCCCTCGATGCCGTACCGTGGCACGTTCACCTGACCGAGCTTCAGTGGATAAACACCACGGTGTCACAGGATTTCCCCTTCAAACGTTGCAACTTGCTGGTGGTTGCCATCGAAACTACCACCCCTCGCTAGAAATGGTGGGCCTTTTTTTAGTTTTCCTTTTGACGCCTAGGTCAGGGGCCGTTGGTTTCCTTCCTGAAGAACTGGCCTTGAAATCCCTCCGCTTCCCTTTTGGGATCCTCCAAAAATGGGGTCAAGTGTCCTAATGTCGAGTGTCCAGTGGCGCTGTTCTCTCCTTTTTGAATTGCAAATATATATATATATAACTGAAAAAAGAATACCCCACGATGACGAGTCATACCCAATGGCCCATGGTGCCATCGACCAGCCTTTGACTTTGAACCTCGGTGTTTGATGCTTCAACCACTGCTCCGGCAACCTGGAGTTCAACCAAGTTAAAGTCTAAAGATGCAACCCAGTAGCAGTCAAGGAATAGAACACCCCTGCTAAGGGCCCTGTGGCTCTGAAAACACAAGTACAAAGGGATGCGGAGCATGCACAGAATGCAGGGAAACGGGCCGGACCATTTGGACATCAACACTTGGACCAGTTGGCAAAAAAAAGTGTTTAAAACACACACTCCACCCCTTCCATCAGCGCAGGCCCCTCTGCCCATAGGTACGGAACAAACCCCAAACCAATTTCACCCGGCAGGACCAAAAACCTCCATTGGGCAGAGAAGGGCAGAGGAGCAAAACACCAATTAACCTGCCATGATCGGTGGTTTTGGGTCACCTGGCATCAAGCCAAGGCCGGGAACTGCAATCGAAAGTAATGCTTGCCTTGTCCAGTTCGTCTCAGATGATATCTATTGCATGAGGAGCAGTTGCCCAAAGGACCTGGAACTGAAAGGTTAACCTTTTGGAACTTTGACTAAAAATGAACCTAAATGGGAAACCAAAAGGTCAAAAGGTTGATTCGCTTTGAGCAACGGAGGAGGATAAGCTGCTGCTGCGTCGCCTGCCACCGTGCATTATATGGAGTATCATCCCGGCAGACAAGAGCTGGGCTTGATCCCCAAAACAGGTGGTCTTGAACTCGGTCCAAAAGGCCTGGCTGCAACGAGGGGCATGATGATACCCCGAAACAGGCCAAAATTGTCCTATTCGGGGCTAGTAGCCTCAGTGGGACTGGGGTGTCCTTGACCTCCGAAGAAATCCTAAACACCGCTGTCAGTCAGTAGATTATATGGGTTATAGGCTAATGTCCATCACTGTAAAAAGGACAACTACAATCAACTACATATAGTGCATCCTATAGATGGGTAGGTGACAGTAACACCAGAATCTGTAGATCAACAAAAACAGCCAAGCTAACACAATTGCCATATCATATCCTATCGAGAAACACATTTGTTTTGGTCAATCCTGAACATACTCATGTGCAAATATATATATATATATATATATTAATATGTTTTTTTTGAAGTGTTCACCCCCCACCATAAATTTGGGGGGTACCCTTTGTTGAGACAAACCCGTGATGGACTGTCGGCTCAGGCCTGCATGCCAGATCGGCGAATGCGCATCACGATGGCTTCCGCGGATTGCTCACCCTGCGATTTTCGGTAAGATTGAGGGTCATGGTCCCAGTACGCACAAAATGCTAAAGAACCAGCGCAAACAATCAGGAGGCTCCCTTGTTTGGACACGTATTGGGGATGCTTGGTCCCGATACATACCCATGTACATCTCGAAAGCCAGGAGACAACTTTTGGGAAGCTGCAAGCGCCGTGTCAACGAGCAACTTCCTTGATTCACTACCTCCCCACAAAAAAACAAAACAAAAAACAAAAGAAAAACGTGTCCAACCCCCGTTCAGTGGTGGGTTAAAAAGGGAAACCACTCCAGTTTATGACTTTGACAGTGGTACAAAACAGCAAGGGGAAGCCACCCCTTAAGTTCCTGGGAGAAAACAAACTGATCATTGGCAGCGGCCATTTGAACCAAATGCTTCACACTAGATCTCCCCACAAGCCAACGTGCTCAATCCAGGGATTGTGAGGGACAAGAAACATGAAAGCTGCAGGTGGCCCAAGACAGAACCACCCACCCCTGGTTTAGGGATACTAGGTCCTCCAGTAGAGAGGTAAGAATAAGGGTACCAACTTTGTTCAGGACGGAACGTCTATTTTAGTAGAGGACCCCCCCCAAAAAAAAGGATGTGGGGGACCTAGTAGGGATACATGGAAAAAACTCGAGGCTCCCAACGAAAGAATTGTTGCTTTTGCCGCAAGTCAGTGAAACATTGCCTGCAAGAACTTCTGGCCACTTCTGCCTGATAGAAGATGCAACTGACTGCCAGGGCAATGCCGGGGCAATGCCAGGCAGTAGAAATTTCAGGGAAGGTAGTACCAGACTTCGGCAGACACGATCTGTGTGTTTCATGCCTTGTCGTGACATTGGCAGATCGTAGCACCCTAGCAAAAGAAAACTCGATCAAGATTGGCAAACAACACATATCTTACAACCAACAAGTCAAGTATAAGAACCCCTGTTCTCCCTGAAACGAGGGGCAAGTTGTTGAGGAATCCATTGATAGTCGAGGTACGCTCAACACCCTCTCACTGCACTCTGAACCAAGCGTCACACGACCCCGGCCTTCTTGTTGAAGAACCTCTGATTGCCAAGGTTGACCAGTGGAGAACCCAAGGATATGGAGAAGGGGGGAGCATGTGGCACGTCTTACCGTGCGAGTTCTGCAACAACTTCAGCTCTTTGTTTCATGCCGCTGCGGCTTTCCGTCAACCATGGGAACAATCCAGCAACTATGAAACATGCGCTATGGTCCATTGAGGCAACCTGGCTTTACATGCTATCCTTGAGATTCAAAGGCTAAGGATGTGGACTCCAAAAAGAGAGGATGGGTGCCAAAACCTTTGAGTCTTGTACCGACAACTCGGAACAACTTGGATGTGTCTCGAAATGAGGACACCCACCACATGATGCCAAGGAATACACTTCAATGAGCCGAATCCCTTTGCTCTACGAGCTGCCGGGCACAACTAGATACTTGTTTCCCCAAGAGAATGGGCGGCCCCCCCAATGTCCTTCCCCAAATAAAAGTAGACTAGCAGAAATGGTGCAAATGCACACCTGAGAGTTGTTGAGTTGGTCCAAACTCTTGTTTGGCGGTCCAAATGCCAATCAGGAATGCCTCTGCAACAAACAACAAACACATAATCGACCGGCACCCACATTTTTTTCATAGCAGCAACAACCTGGAAAGCTCGCGGGAAAGACCTCGTGCTATGAAAGCCTTCAAAAAGCATCCGTGACCTGGGCATACGTTTGAACGGGGACCCCTTTGGCGGACATGTTGAGGATTCAGACGTTCACCAGAACCACTTTGTGGCGGTTGCCCATCAAATTGATATAGCCACCTTTGCAATGCATTGGACGCCTGCACTTCATGGCCAGGTCACATGTCAAGGACATGTCCCACGGCTGCTCCAGAATCTCTGCAGAACATGTCGCTGAGCGCAAGATTCGAACATGGGCCAACGGCATAAAATGGCAAGCACCAAGATGCCGTAAAGCCGTAAAGTGATTTTCTCTAGCATGCCGTGTCCCGAACCAGAACTCCGGTGTTCCTTCCTGAAAGGCAAATTCGGGTACCCCTAGCTCTAACCACTAGCTCGTAGCAATTTGCGCTTTCATCCCATGCTCCGAAATCCCATAGGATCATAGGATCGGGGCCTCGAGGGTGAACAAACCGTGTTTTTTTTGTTTGGGGGGGGATCTGGAATGAACAACTACCCATCCCCTGTATTTCTGGGTGAATCATAATATGTCACCAGCCGGAAATAAGGTGGTTGGGGGGACTATCCTCGCATAAACCACCATTTGGGGTGAGGTCGTGTGAGGTCGTTATCATTCACCCAGGTATTTGTGAAAACGCCCCAAGGTACATTCAATGGCAACTCCGAAGCACATGCCCCGGTGGTATCCCCAACAGCCCCAAACCCTCTGGAACCCTCCAAAACAAATGCTCAGAGGCAAAGATTTTCAGCTGGGGCAAACCACGGAATCCGAGCTCTCGCCTCTGGGATCAATTGAAAAGTTAGACCCCAGATTCATAAACCCCCAGAAGTGGGATTCCCCACTAGACCCGAGGACCCCCTATCAACAAATGGAGTTGATTCATCCGGGGTTCAAAACTCCAAAAGCTGAATTCAGGGATCCCCAAGTAAAAAAACAACTTCTCATGGCTTTCGCTTCTTGTACTCCCGAATCGGTGAGCTCGCTATAAAATAGGCAAACATTAACTCCCTGGGTTCCAAGTTGTTCTTCTCGCAAAAAAAAAAAAACAACACGAACCAAACGTGGGAAAAAATACGGAGAAAACACAGAAAACACTCGCGAGGTGAAATCCCAGCGGCATAAAGGTGTGGAGATCTGCGGAGGCGCGGCTCGCAAACTGCGCCATGCGGTGCTTCACCTGAAAGCGACGGCCAACGGAACGGCCACTTGCGGGGGCGGGGGGTTTGGGGGTGGGGGGGGGGGGTGGCAGGGGTTGGGGGAGGGTTGGGGCGGCTCTAAAAACTTTCGATCTGTGGAATGACCGGGTCGGGGTTTTTGGGAATGAACCGTTTCGGGATTCCCTGAGAGGAAACAATAGGATGGATGGTTACTAGGGCTTCGAGTACTACAACCAGAACCAGCTTCAACTCGGAAAACCTGGTGGGAAGTTGAGCGAGTCGCCCCAAACTGGGGTAATTGTCCTTGTTGAGGCTTGAGCCCCTTTCTTGAGGCTTTTGAAGGGAAGCCAAAAGGAAAACAACCATCTTGGGTCCCCACAAAGAAGATCGACAGCGGCTTTGACGAAACGCAGCCAACTCACATTGACAGAACAGCGCAATCCACCCACCCCGGCTGCAATACTTTTCTAATCACGTCCATGTTCGTGAGCTTGCGGTTTGTGACAAGAGATTCTCCAGGTACGAGCCTTTCCCAGGTCATCCGTGCTTGGAATTATGGCTCTGACAATGCCCATCTAAACCAACAGGAAGACCTTCTTGCAGAGACTTGCCATGTCCAAACCGAGCACCCGTCTCACATCGAGCTATCACCAAACAACACAGCCCGCTAGCTTAGCTCCGTGATTCATGTTGCTTTTGTTTTTTTTGCTTTTTTCCCGATTTAAGGAATCCTCAGGCTGACCTAAGTGGCAGATCGAATTTGCGATGGGATTGCATCATGACTTGTTTTGCGAATATTTGCGAATCTCTAGTTGCCACACCAAGAACAGCACAAAACACGTTTCATGTACAGTCAGGGCCAAATGGGACGCCAAGTGCCAAATATGCTCCCAACGGCATTGTTGAGGACGCCGTGGTGTGGTCTTGCCGGCAAACACGGCACCCCTTCCCCGACACTCCCTACATGAAAATCACGAACCTTCTTGGCTGGAATAGCAAAAACATATGTTCTTTGCCCGGTAGTGGAAAACAAGGGGAACCCCAAAAGAACAAAAAAAAAAAAGAAGAAAAAAAAAGGAAGGGGAACTAATTCTGGGGAAGCAGGATGGTCCGTAAACATTGATTCCATTCCCCACTTTTCTCTTCTTTCAGTGAACAGGGGGATTTGAACACGTAGTCAATCAAAGGGCAAAACATACTCACACCAAATGCTGCTCAGAAGCGTTGATCTTCTCGCACTGCTCAGAGATTGCGGCCTGGACACATTCGAGTTTGCAGAGCTTTGCAGCGGTTTGTGGGCATGTCATTTGAAGTGGACAATGCAGGACCGAGTCAACACAAAAGTAACCCCCACCAGCAAATCCAGCGTGAATAGGTGTGGCAAGTTCGAGCCAACTCTGCAAACACACCGACTGCTGGTGTGCGTTCAAACCACCAACAGCAAGTGCAGCCATCTGCCTAGCCGGATTCTCTACATGCCCGGCCACAAACTCATTGCCGCCGCACTAACAGTTGCACATGCCGCACCATCATCATTCATTCCCGCTAAAGTTTGCAACAATATGTTTTGAACAAATGGCTCAGCACAAAAACCTCCAAGAATCTTCCTGGTGCCGTTGTTGGGCTACATTGCATATCATCCAACCTAGATTTGTTTGTGAACTGTCAATGGGTTGAGCTCTCAATATGTGATTGACAACGAAGCTATGGGAATTTCCTAGAGCGGTTAAGGGAAAACATGGCTCCTTGCCTAAACCTCCATCGAGTGCCCCGGCTTAGGACATAGCCACGCCCCTACAAGCCACGTGTTTCTATTTCTAGGAAACCCCGGGCAACAAGGCAATAAGGACAATCAAGTCTGGCAATGCGACAAGTACATGGGTGACCCGAAATGGGTTCTAAGAAATCAGTTCCAGGATGCTATTGTCTCGTGGTGCAAGCTGGAACCCATTTGGAACCCATTTAATTGGGGGCTTGGTTTGCTTAATTCCGTGTTTCTAGTTTTGTGCCTGTCGACTTTGCCTTTTTGTGGTGTTATCGAGATGTTATTACTGCAGTAGAAACCCGGAAAGAAGAAGATTGCAACTTGCTCATATCCCACAAAAACATGGAAACATCGAACTCCCAAAGTCCCCTTAAATTTGGGTAAGAATCTTAATGGGGGCTCCTTTGATGGACAACATGTGGGTGGGGATTTCATATCCAACAACCATTCTTGAGGTGGGTCCCTGGCAAGAATCAGAGCCATTTGGGTGTTTCTCAAAATACGGGGCCCCTTTTTCGATGCAGGGAAAGAACGCCACCTACCTGTGGAAAGCTCCCTAATTTCGTGAGAAACACCCATTTATTTGCGATCGGTGCGTGAGATGCAGGGAATGAGAAATGAGAATGACCCCTATAAACCATCCAACTAGTGGCTTCCTTTAAAGGGGACCCCTAGGTTTATTCCCTCACTCCATACTTATCGCACCAGCAAGCTTAGGGTCTGAAGTGGACGATGCCCAACAGCTCACCTTGGATTGGAGCTGCTCCGGCAATGTCGCAATTCCCAGAGAGGCCGCTAGCAAGCGATGCACCAAGACATCCGCGTAGCGGCGAATGGGGGAGGTGAAGTGAGTGTAGCCTGAAATCACATTTGCAAACAAATTCAAGTCGAATATGAATTGGGGACACTTTGGTGGAGAGATGCCAAGCCATGCATTGTCAAGAAACACAGCTGGCTTTATCTGGCTTTCCTACCGCAAAATAACCAAGACGGGCCACATCAACATGCGCCCTTGGCATGCTGTCGCTTGACATGATGAGCTACGTTGATGTGCTATGTCACTCATGTGTCCGTGCTTCGTATAAAGGCCTGAGTGCTGGCATAGGCATCTCAAATACATGCATACACACCTCTCTCTCTCTCTCTCTCTGTACCCAAAAAAAAGACACGCACACACACACACACAATTTGCATGACTCAAGACCGGCTCATCGCCTTTGCCGAGGCTTCCCCTTGCCCTCAAAGACAGCTGAAACACATCAACCTGCGACAAACACGTATTGCATTGCGTGTTTGATGTGCCTGAATAGGCGGAAAGTTTAAATTATTTATGCCCTCTCTGTCGGCACCCTGCTTTTGGCAAAAGGAGTTCACCAGTTTTGATCGCTTCCCAAAGTGGCTTTTTCCGATTTTCCATCCTAGGCCACAACAGGCTACCCTCAGGAAAAAAGACGAGCCAATCATGTTACAGACTCGAAGCTCCTGCAGCGAGAGCGGCCAAACCCTTCGTTTCACAAGAACACTCAAAGGAGGTGGTTCAAACAATTGCAGTTTGACCTCTATAATGTGGAGACAAAACTATAGTGGAGACAAAACCCATTGGTTCCCCTTTAAGCCCCCTCCCCCCCCCCAAAACAAAAAAAGTTCCCCTGAAACCCCATACGTCCCCCCCCAAAAACACACACACACACACACACCACAACTCCCAAAAAAGACACCCACAGCTCCTCCGGTTTCAACCCACAGACTCCTCTGAACAGCCTTCCGCCATGAGGCGCTCCATGGCGAGGCCGTAGTGGGAGTAGAGGGCCGGCTGCACCTCGCCGGTGCAGAAGTAGACCGCCTGGTTCATGCACCTGAGGCCATTGACTGCTTCTTGGTTGACGTTGGAAGGGGAGCGCAGTTGAGTGGTTGGATTTCAACCACTAAACCACAACAAGCAAAAATGTAAAATGTTTCCCAACAACACCCATGCCTTGAAGCTGAGCGGCCAGCGGCTCTGTTGGCTCTGTGGCCAGGAGGTTTCGGATTGTTTCGCCCCCTCGCTCCAACGGTTAAATCTCAAAATCCCAACATGAGCGTACCAATATTCGTGACAAAAAACAGTGAAGGCAGCCAAACAAATAGCGAGCAAAAACACACACACACACACACACACACACACACACACACACACACACACACACACACACACACACACACACACACACACACACACACACACACGCACCGAAAACACTCGATAGTAGTTCCAGTGGCGAGCAGCCTCATTTAGCCCGGAAGATAGTGTTTTGGAGGTAGTGGAAGCACGACGTTTGGGTGTGGGTCAAAATTAAGCCACCAGCGACCAGGAATTGGACTGTAGGTTTTAGTCTTTGGTTCCATTTACCAGGGTTCCATTTGGGGACTTTTGCCATGCGTCCAAAAGGCAGACCTGCCTTGAGAGGGTGGAAGCCAGGCAGGGGTTTCCTGATGTTCCCCTCCCATGGAACCGGACGGGATGGAAAAAAAATCCTCTTATATAGTTGGTGTGTGGCAAGTCTGGCAAGCAAAGAGGTTGCCCATCACTTCCCATTCCCAACGCACATGCCATGCCCTCGCTTTGGCCTTGTGGTCATGATCCTCACTAGGGTGTTGAAGAAAGGGTCCTGTCAGGTCGATCTGCATCCCCATTGAAACCCGCACGGGCAACGAGCCCCAGAAATGTCCCCTCATGTGAGCTGCGGTCAAAATTATGCAATATCAGTGTATAACATGGTATTCATTCCATTTCAGGGAGTCTCCTACCGTTTTCCAAGTTTTGGTCAGGGATATCATTTTCCGTGAGTCACCTATCGTCCTTGCTTCGCATGATGTTTCCTGGCTCATGTCGGTGTTGGCTTGGTAGCGAGAAGCAATCAAGCCCGTGTGCGACTTGATTTGCAAATGCTTGATAAAAAAAAAATACAAATACTGTAGTAACTCCTACTTTGCAACAGTATCCTTTGATTATGCTAATTGAATGCCTGAACATGTTCAAATCATGGTACAGTACTCATGATTGGCACAATCGTTGAGGTGTCAGTGGTCCTGTGCTGGCTCCTGGGTTCGTGCCGCCTCAACTGTGGGGGAACCTCGAATATGGTTGATTTCGAGTGGGTGTCCCCCTCCAAAACCAAACGGAAGGGTGTCAAAAACGACGCGCCCGTTCGGCGATATTCCCGGAACTGCCCTCAGCATGACTGCTCTCTTCGAATATCAAAGGCCTCTCGCAGCAGGTTACTTTCATTTTAGGTACGAGACATGTTCTGGCCGCAGCGGCTTGTCTTGCAACCTTCATGCACCCACGGCTTCACTATGAAGGTCTTCTCAACACGGGGGTCCCCTAAAAACCGCGGGTGCCCCTACCGGGTCCACAATTCGGACAAACTTGAGTACTCCCCAAAAAGCTTGGTTCATCTCTGAAGTCGACCCGTCTGTTTCTTGCCAAGATCCTTACGCAATGGCAAGTTAAACTGCTCGTTCATCGCTACGAAGGCAATGCTCTATCCACAATTCCAGGATTTGCTTGCTCAAGCTAAAACTGCTGCAACTACCCGGAAAACAGAGGCAAAGTCCTGGTATGGGGGAGTTTAATAAGTACTAGTTCTGTACTCCTACATTTGTGTGTGTGTGTGTGCGACTAAGTCTAGCTTTGTGGTACCCCACCCCACACCCCATTCTACCCTAGGCCCAAGGCAAATTCAGGATTGCCAACTGTAGTCAATGAACATCCCCACCACATTTTGCCTAAGCCAGCAAAATAAACTACTCAGCGACAACGCCCGCCACATTGTCAACATATCATCCATAATATGAGGGTGCGTCTTGATTTGAGGGTATCCCTTTTTGGTGAGTTTCAAGGGAAACAACAGGGCAACCACCATTTAATGGGATCCCCCCCCACAAGAAAACAACAACCCATATGCCCCTTGAAGTTGCATCCATAAAATGGCGCACATTTAGCATTGATTGGTGCCCTTGGGGCTTCGACCATCAGTCCTCCTGGCTTTTGTGCGATCTGGTCCTGCTTGTCATTGTATCACAACTGTCAAGTGAGGTAGACAAAGATATGGAACCCCTTCGGTGTCAACCCTTTCAGTCAGCCCACCCTTTTCTACAAATGGAAATCTTGGCCCACATGTTTCAACAAAACAAGTTCTGGGGAACCTTTGTGTGCTGGTGTTAAGCGGACACCAAAAGGAACACCACCCTTTGTTGGGTTCTGACAAGTTTGAAGACCAACCCATTTTGAGCGAGGCCCCCCGCGCAGCGGTCCTCCGGCTTCACGGCTCTCTGCAGGGAATCTGACAACTCCTCTCCGCAGTCAGCGAGTTGGTTGAGACAGCCGAGTTCACCGGCGGCCCTCGTCATGGGCTGGGCTGTTTCTATCATCCCCTCCTAAAAGTCTATGTTTTTCAGCGGTTTAGGGGAAACCCAACCCAGGAAGGAAACGCTCTCAACGACAAGGGATTTCTCTACGAGACGAGAGAGCTTGCTTTCCCAGGCTTCAAGACATGTCGTGCTGCACGCACCCCTACGTACTTCGTGTGTTCGCGGGGCGAGCGGAACCCTCCGCGCGCCAAATCGTTTCGGGGGCTGGCCCCACAAGCTTCGCCGCGAGCCAACCAGCGCCGAGAAGTTTTTGGGGGGAGGCAAGTCTTGGCTGTGGTCAAAACCCAATAAAAACGCCTGAACATCAAAGTAGGTGGTACATGGGTGCTCAAAATGGAGGCATAGTTGGTGAATGGCCATTTTGGCTCAAGGCTCAGCCTCCACAGACTCGCTTCTGGCCAAACGTGGGCCATGAAGGCACCCCAAAGCCCCTTGGGGCCGAGTGGTGAGTGTCTGGCAGCCTGAAGGCTCTTGGTCGACTTCAGCTGTCGCGAACTTGCCTTGACCCTGAAACCCTCTCAGGCTGTCGCTGCTTTGCTTTCCGTAGCTTGGACTTGGTCGGTAAAATCTTGCTGGTGCGATAGGCAGGGAATAAGAACTGGAATGAGCCCGAAAGAAAAACATCCAAGTGGTGGTGTCCTTTATTCGGGAATCCCAAAACGGTTCCTTCCAACTCATTCCCTACCAATCGCACCGATCGCCAAGCTTACCGAAAGACTTGGCATATTGGCTTGCGGGTGTCTTCACATGGCATCCAAGAAATGCAAGACATGGCTTTTGGTAAGAGCAAACATCCCAATCGGATCAGTGGCCATAGGGACGATTGTATATCAGTACCTAATTAATTTTGGTCGCTGACAAAGAGGGCAACCCCAAAACAAGGGTCCCGCTGGAGTTCTTGGACATTCTTCAACCGGCCATGGAATCACAAAGCCCGAGTGGACGATTTGGCTGTGGGTCAAAACCAATGGTACCATTTTGGGTTAGGTGCACCACCCAGTTTAGCCTGTTTTAGTGGGGATTGGGATGTTCACTGGAAATACGATTTGGATTTTGATCCATGGCCAATTGAACATGTGCCGCACCTTGTTGCTGCCGAAGTGGAAGTTCTCAAGTCCGTTCTTCGCCAGCAAGTTCTGCAGAGTCTTCAGCTGATCGTCCTGAGGCCAAACCCCTCCGAGATCCCGAGCAACGAACTGCCGGTTTTTCTGGCGCGCCCTAATACAGTATCATGGGGGCTGGGGAGGAGGGAGTGGAGGGAGAGGGAGCCCAAATAAGCCCTTATTAAGCCCCTAATAAGGCCTTACTTGGGGCTTATTGGGGCTCCCTCCCCCCCCTCCCTCCCCCCCAGCCCCATTCACAGTAGATGTATACACCTCTCCCTGGCGGCGGGAACGCCAATGCATCAAGTCGCACCATCTACACCTTGAGTCCCGTGGAAGCTGCCCTTCGTCAACAGTGGAACTGCGCAAAAAAATCCGTGGTTGTTGTGGAACCATATGCCGGATCATTGGAACATTGACATCCCTTCGCGCTTCAATCCGGGTTTCGTCAGCTCTGGCAAAAGTACCCAAAGTTCTGCCAATATAAATGAAGCGCGATTGGTGTCTCAGCTGCCCAAAGGACCCTTAAGGCCATGACTAAACTGACTAAACGTGGAGAAAAAAAGGGAACCAAAGCTAGGTCCTCCAGTAGAGAGGTTAGAACAAGGGTACCAACGTTTTTCTGTCGTCTGTTTTAGTAGGGGAACCCTCTCCCAAAAAACAACCAGTCAAAGGGCACTACGGGGGGACCTAGAAAAGGTCAAAAGGTCGATTCGCTTGGGGGCAAGTGAGGTGCTCCTCTGGTCGTCCCCCTTTGGTCCTTTGCAGTTTTGCGCAGGGTGGACTGGCCCAGGCACCATTCCATCCACTTGGTTGACGTTGGAAGGGGAGCAAAAATTGAAACAAAAAAGCAATTAAGTGGTTGGATTTCAACCACTAAACCACAATAAGTAAAATGTAAGATGTTTCCCAACAACAACCATGACCACTCCTTCATGAACCCCAGTCCCAGCCACCGTAACATCCTTCCAGTACAACTCCAACGCCATTCTAGGGCAATAACGATCAATTCCGGCAAACAACTCCCACACCCTCCAATTCCTTAGAAACGTGCTTCTTTGGGTCACCCACCCAGGGAGCAATGCGACACAACTCGTCACCGGCTTCTGCTCGGAGGAGACTCTACCACGCAAAAAAACAATGATTGCGTTCTAATTCTTGGGGAGCAACATCAAATCCAGCATGAAGCACCCAAACAAAGATGGCGTGTGACTAATTGACCAGCAATATCTTGCTCAGCTGGAGAATATCTGCATCTGGCCACTGGCCCTTAAAGAAAATCATGGCAGATCAATGGAACGAGCCAACGGTTCGAACTGCCTTTTGTTTCGGCATCCCCGTCTCCTTGGGCGGCGGGTGCCGTCGCAGTACTCCGAACCTCACGTCCAAGTGAATGAGTGCAGACTCTGCATGACTGGGTGCCTCGTCTTCCTTTTGTGGTGTTCAAGGGAAAGCAACAGGAAACCATCATTTTGGAGATCCCCAAACAAAGACAGACCCAACTCAGTACCCGGTGAGTAAAATCTCTCCACGCAAACGTGCTGGGAAGCCAAGCATCTTCCACTCTGACGAACATTAACATGGAACCTCGAGTGCGATTGCACGGAAACTTAATTTGTAGTGGAGTGCAGTAAATGCTGCAAGATTATTTCTTTCCCCAATCAAATCCTGCAAATCCCTCAGACCCTCAGAAGACAGCAGTGGCCGACGCTTTTTCAGCAAACCAAGCCAGAGTCGTGAGAAACGTGACAACATGTCTTGCAATGGCTATCTTTGTTCTGCACACATACAAGTACCAGAGCAGCTCAAGCAAACGAGCTGCATGACTCTTCCAAAGTTAAGCAAGTAAAGCCGACTCATGCCAAGCATCATACACAGAGACACACACACACACACAAGCAGAATTACATATCTATAATATGTGCGCAGCACAGAAACAAAAACATAAATAATAAGAAAAATAAAGCAGCCACGCAAAACACTCCTTGAGTTTCATCCAACCCCAAAGCACTGCCTCCTTTCCTTGCGTTTGCACCTGCCCGCATGCTGAAGGCACATGGGGAAGGTGTTCAGGATCTTGGTGGCCACGGCTTGGTTGGCCAGCAGCATCAGCTCCTGACGGCGCAGTGGCGCACAGAGCTCGCGAGGCAGGATCTGGCAAACATCCCCCCTACCTTAAGTTAAGGGGAATGGGGGTGGGGGGGGGGGTCCCCAATTCCATTTAGTCTTCCCCATAAAAGTGAAAATGGAACAAATGGAGATCTCCACCAGGGGTCACCCCCCTCCCCCAATTCCATTTTTGAGGGGCTGGGGATAAGCAAACAACAAACGAATGCGCGCAGCACAGTTGAGCGCTCCGAGTGGAAGTCTCTTTTTCGGTGTGTGAAGAACCGGGTCAGAGGCAGGCCCACTGCGGCCAGGCGGTTGCAACATCTCTCAGATTTCCAGATCTGCCCATCAGGCATCCTAGGACTATGGTCGTAGACTCGTGAATCTCCTCGTCCGGTTGGACGCCACGCACGAAGCTGAGGCAAGTTTCCCAGGTAGCAACTGCAGCACCAAACTTCGGGAGCTTTCTGGATGGCAAACGGGCTTTGGGCGCGGCTCAAATGAGCTTGGATGTAATCTGCATCTTGTACTTCAAGGTGAAGCCAAAGCAAAATACCAGCCCCACCGCAGCCTTCCTGTGCTGAGGAAACTACAGCAAAACAAACAAATCTTTGGGCTTCCAACAAACCAACACGTCAATGAAGTCTTGTTGACTTGCAAAAAAGCCCAGACTTTCTTGCCAGGACCTGTCAAGAATCCAGCTCCCCAGCTTGCCAAGGTCACGCCAAGTCTCTGAATCCGTGTGACGAGTCGATGGCCCAGGGTTTGCTCCGGAATGCTCTCCGCGAAGGGGTCTTTGGATCCGTCGTCATCCTTGGACCACACATACTCCGTGGCCTCTGCCGCCGCCTCTGCCAGATCAGCCCCAAAGACCTGCACCACAAGTCTTGCCACTTGAGCGGATTGGTCAAGTCGAGTACCCTCCCACTTACGCGGAACCTGGCAGGTACCTTCAAAAGGAAAATGGTCCAAAATAAAGGACCCCCCGAACGTTGAACGCTTCCATGTTAGTTGCTGGGAGGTTTTTTTTCTTTTTGCTCCCCACAACAAGTGGCCTTCCCAAGTACAAAGTCCAGGGACTCCCGAGGTGCACTAAATCCGGGCTGTAAGCCTCAGGCGTTTCACCCATGGAAACCCCGGCAATGGTTTTAAAACACCCGGGATTCCGGGTCGGCAATCAATATGCAACCCTTGGAGCCTTAAATTTAGATTGGCTCATGTCCTGTGAACATCAAATGGAACAAATAACACATCTGCGTCGATGGACGCGTGCATTCAGTATGGGCCCAACCCGCCCAAGCCGCTAGTTGAACATGCTCAAACCGCTGTTGCGTAAACAACCTCCTTTGAGTCTGTTGTCATGCGTTGAAGGCAACTTCTTTGAACCCAATATGGCACGGTCACATGCGTCTTTTATTGGCCCCACATGTCACCAGTGTCAAAGTTACCCAAGTAGTACCTTAGGGGAAACAACTTGGACTGTTTGACTCTGACCCCAAACCTGGGTTGACGTTGGAAGGGGAGCAACAAACTAAACTTTAGCGGTTAAGCGGTTGGATTTCAACCACTAAACCACAATAAGCAAAAATTAGAAAAATGTTTCCCAACAATTGGCCATGGGTCAAAATCCCGCACTCCTAGTGAACATCCCAATCCCACTTAAAAATAGGCTTAACTGGGTGGTGCACCTACCCCAAAATGGGATCCCATTGGTTTTGACAACCACGGCCAATTATGTCACAGTGGTCTCACTTTCGTGGATCGGCCTTCCCAAACAGCTGCAAGTCCAGGGAGGTCCCCGGTCAGCTCTTGGGTCACTGGATTTCCGCTCGAAAGGAACTCCCAACACACACTTTGGGATCAACAAAATTGGGAAATTGACGGACCCCTGTTTTAGTTGTCAGATTGGTTGTGCTTGGAGAGTTGGTGTTGCCACTTTGGGTCCAAAAAAGTGGAAGTTCATGTCAGCTCTTTCGTCTCCGATTCACAACGCGCCTCTCGCATCAGTGCCAGGGACAGGTCCGTGCCGGCGGACACCCCGCTGGAAGTCCAAAACTTCTCGTCGCGCACCCATCTGGCGCTGGGTACCTAAGGCTTCGGAAAACCTCCAGCACCTAGCATGTAGGAGCTCTTGGTTGAAACAATTGAACAACTTTAGCAGTAAAGTGGTTGGATTTCAACCACTAAACCACAATCTCAGCAAAATGTAAAAAAAGGTTTCCCAGCAACCGTGAGGTACCACAGTAATATATATATATATATATATACCATTTGGGGATATGATCAAAGTGTCTGCCCCCAGCTTTTCTCATTTTTCTCCCATGTCCAACATCCCTGTCCCAACAGCCCTGGTTGGGACCCGTGGCTCAGGTCGGGACCCATTCCCCGCAACTCCAAAGCGCCCCTTCGAAAACCCCGCGGTGGCTTTTCCTGAAGGCCGAGTCGAGCTGGTGGCTGGTTAGGGAACTTGAAAGAACCCAAAAGGACGACACAAAGCAAGTCGAGTCCAAAGTGAAAATCGCAACTCCTGTTTGAATGCGGCAAGGTGACTAAATGACCTGAACAGGGACCGTTGAAGCCTTAAAGAACTGGGGTGCACTCAAGCTAAGCGGCCACTGTTTCAAACAAGTCCGGCAACGGTGGCTAAAGAACCGAACAACAAACGAACAAAAGCAAACAAAACACACAGTACAACACCGAATAAAAGAACAAACAAGCAAACCCAAACAAACTCCCACCAAAACCAAACAACACCAAACAACCTTCAAACAAAACCACACAAAAAAAACGAGAAGCAAGCAAGCACGCACGCACGCACGCACGCAAACAAACAACCACCCAAACAAAACCAAACAGACCCCAAGCAATTCCTGCGACTCCCCAGAAAGAGATCCCCATCCACAAGCTGACCAGGCGCCCAATCGGCCGGCCCGAAGAGCGCCATGAGGTCGAAACTCATCTTGTTGGTGGTGACCTGAAGCATCCAGGAGCTGTTCATAATTTCACTTCCGATCGAGGTCGGACGAGCCCAAAAAAGTGAACCGAACTTTGTTTTTTCTCCACTAAGACATGGAATCCCGGGAGCTGTTCCTCTTCCTGATTCGACTAGCCCAAAAAAGGAACCAAACTTTTGAGTTACTGGTAAAACGGTCCAAACCCAAAAAGTGACTAAAGTCCATGAACTCAGGAGCGGACCATGTTTGGATCATTCTGATGAGATCTGGAAGGTTTCAGATCCACTGAGTGCAATTGCCACTGACAAAAAACGTCGACAGACTCTTTTTGGTGCTGGCCAAACAGCTCAAATACTGTGGATGGACGAAATCCATTTCGCACCACCTAAGAAACCCTGGAATTCTGATTCCCCTGTAAATACCAACAAACAATGGTTTCTTATGGTTTCAAAGTGGTGCGAAATGGATTTCGTCCATCCACAGTATCAAGCTTAAAGTTACATAGTTGGTTCCCTACATAGGAGACCCCCGGTGGATGTTGCTTGGAGGAAAATCAAATCTCTGCTTTGTTGGGCCGGGGGGATCTCAGAAGCCAATGTGTCTGCCAGTGGATCGTAAAAACATGCGTCCATGCTTGCAGGACAGCTTCGACACCCTGGGTGTCTCCAAGGACCCCTCCAAATTTATGGTTGGTTTGCTTTTGCTTTCCTGTTCACACCATCTGCCCTCCCAACCGCCAACATGGAAGCTGACAGGGGTCCCTTAAGGACACTGGCCTTCCAACTGCCTCGATCCAGGTTCTTTGTGCGCTTTTCCCAACACCGGTCCCTATTTTACATGTTTCCAACAACTGTATCACCCTGCTTTGGATGGAGTAAAACCCTATGAACAGTGGGAGAAGAAAGGTGAACTTTGGTCCAACCAAAAAAAAAGGGAGTGGTGAGCAAAACCCAAGTTTCGCGCGCACACACCGCCACACTTGAGTCACAATCAAACCCCGGTATTGAAATGGTCTACCCAGAACCATGCTTTAATAATCAAGAAGGCGGATATCCGAACAAATTCCTGGCTGGGACTGCCCCTTACTATCCTTCATCTACCCGGGTCTTGATTTGGGTGTGGCTGAAAATTAAACAGGAGGGGCAAACCACAGGTGTCGGTCCATGTTTCCACTTGCCGATCGGGCAACCCATGTTGGAATTTTCCGGTTTTTGGAGCCACAGCCACTGGACCGCCAACAACATCTGCTTGAGCCCTTCGCGCCTTGCGGTTCTGCAGCAAGTTCTGGGAGGCCAGGATCGCGCTGCCCGTGCACACCGTCATCACCCGCTGCGCCTCGCTTTTTTCGCGTGCAAAAAGCGGGTCACTGTAGGCACACCTGGTTCAGACAAATGGGACCTTCAAGCTAGGGGAAGATCTCCATTTTGTACCCAAAACACCTGAGAATACTCAATCAGGCTTCTTGACGAAACGATCTATGGTTGGGATTGTCCCTAACCTTGATCTGGTCAGCTTTTGCGTGTGGCTCTGACTCTGGGTGCTCCGCTTGGCCTTGGGGCATGCCAAGCCTCCGAAACCGCTTTGAGGCGACCTGCCCGTGCAGTAGGGACCAAGTCACGTGCTTTATCCACGCCTTCCAGGCGCGCAACCTCCATAGGAGTGGTTTGAAGTGACAAAACGGTTTGAACATCCTGTACCCCTGGTGAACATCAAAATAGGTGGCCAATGGACGTTCATCCACCCCAAAATGGAGCCAGAGGTTGTGACCCATGGACATGTCACAGTCGCCCCGACTCCCAACCAAAATCTGCACACGCCACCATTTTTTCTTCAAAACAGCTACTAGGTCCTCCAGTAGAGAGGAGAGAATGAGGGTACCCTTCTTTGTGTGGTCTATTTTAGGTGGGGAACCTTCCCCCAAAAAAGAATCGGTAATTAAAAGGGCACCTAGCTGAGGGGAGGCGCACGGGGGGGCCTAGGCATTCAGACACCGCCGGAGTCGGAGCTCAGCTTCAGACAGGCCTTGGCCACCATTGCACAGATCGCTTTGCTGAAGACCGGGTTGTAGATCTCCCGCAAAGTGCCGATTCCTGACGCAGGCGTTGGGGGCAGGAAAAGAGAGGCATCGTTTGGTGTTGCTTCCGTCACAGATTTTTCTGGCTGGGGCTCAAAAAACCGGAATTCCAAAATGGGTTGCCCTGGTAAGTGGAAACATGGACCAAAACCTGCGGTTTGCCCCTCCCTTTTAATTTTGAGCCACACCCAAAAAGCACATCTGTGAAAAATATACGGCGAAGTGTCTAAGTGGTTGCTTTCATAAGGAGACCTGCAGAGAAGTCTGTTGTGATCTCCTGTGTGCACGCCACCAAAATCATGAAAATGGTAGCTGAGGCTTGCAAGTGTCTTGGAGGGAAAGCAAACGCCCATATAAAAATATATTATGTAGATGTATAGACACAAATATTATGTAAATACTCTAAAACATGTACGTGGCACTCCCGGTGTGAATGAGAGTGTGCGTGGGTGCACGCGCGCGTTCTTGTGTCGTGTGTTACTGTGTGCGTGACTGTGTGACTGCGTGACTGTGCGACTGTGTGACGGTGTGTTTGTGTGTGACCGTGTGTGTGTGTGCGCGCATATACTATTATATTATAAATAGATATACACACGATATACAACACTTATGCATTTGTGCTATGTGCGCCCCTGCATATGCACTTGTGTATGCAACTGCACGCTTGTAGAACACCATTCCTCAGCATGTGTAATATTTACGCACATACACACAACATTAACATCAACTTATTTTTGTGTGTGTGTGTGTGTTGATGCATGCATGTCGGGTGTTGCTCACCTCTGGAGTTCCATGGTCTGGATGTTTTTTGTTCCAAGTGAGTGCCCCACGACTTCATCGCTTGCTCATCACTTGGTCTGGGCGTCTGAGGGAGTAGAACCATTTAATTGCGAGGTCCAGGTTTCCGCCGGCCGAGAGCATTCCTCTTGCCGTTTGAGCTTGGTTGACGTTGGAAGGGGAGCAAACACTTTTCAATTTTAAGCAGTTCAGTGGTTAGATCACGACCACTAAACCACAATAAGCAAAATGGAAACATGTGTCCCAACAACAGCCATGTTCGGGCCAAAGGGCGGGCGGTTTGGCGCCTTAAAACTCGGGCGGCGCCGCGGCGCCGCGGCGCCTCCCGCCTCCAGGGAGCAGCAAGAGGTCGATGTCGCCTTCGGCGCCAGAGGCCAAGGCCTGGCGTCCGGAGCCACGGGGGGGCCCGCCCAAAAGATCATGTGTGTTTTTTTTGGGGTGGGGGTGGGGGTGGGGGTGGGGGGGTTGGGGGAGGGTTGGGGGGTGGGGGGGGGGGGTTGGGTGGGGGTTGGGTGGGCTGGGGAGGTTCCGTGCGATTTTTTGGGTGGGGGTGTGGGGGGTGTGGGGGCGTGGGGAGGGTGGGGGTGTGTGCACAGTACCCTCCTGCGGCGAAATGCACATTGCTGGCCTAGGCCTGAAATGACCTTGGACGTGTCAAGCAGAAAATTGATTAGGCTTGCAAGCAATCCAACGTGCCAGAAAATCAGAATATAACTCCAGGCGCTGTGTAGGTCGTTTCACTTCCAAGGTCAAGGTCTATAGAGTTTGATTGCTTTGCTTTAAGAAAGGAACGTCAAAATCAAGATCTCCCTTAGTAAATACTTCCCTTTGCCTCTCGTCTTTTTGTGGCACCTCCCTTGGTTTTACAGGGAACACCAAAAGAAACCGGAACCTCTTGCTATTGTTTTGGTTTTGCAAAGGAAACCCAAGGGCCGTTTCGAGGCAACCCCATATCTCTCACTTTCCTGGATGAGCCGGAAACAAGTCCAGGGACTTGTTGTTTACCACTAAACGTGGATTTGTGTTTTCGCCCCCTGGAAAAAATACAAGAACAGTGGCGAGAAATCGCAAGGGACCAGCAAAAATAGTGGCAAGCAAACAGAAGCAACAAAATTTGGCCCCAACCAGGCTTTTTGACTTTTTGACTACCCCAGGGTAGACTTAAACCCACCCAGGGGCGGTTCATTCCCCCAGAAAGGAGAACCCTGCGTAGGCCATCTTAAGCGGAACTCTGCCCTCAACCAACCAGTTTCTCAGAGCTCCGGCCAAAGAGCGAGAAATGGCGGGCCGGTCTTCCTGGTGGTTTCATTTTGACCACCCAAATGGCTGGCTCAAATAGATGTACCAAAATGGCCCCCCTGGTACATTTGGAACCCAAGAGTAAGACCTGCGTCACCCCCAGCTGCTTCATTTTGAGCCATACCCAAATGTCTTCAACCCCTAGGTCGCCTCGCATTGGAACCAGGGCCCGCCGAAGGACTTCGTCTCAAAGTCCTCCGCCACCACCTGGCGCTCGGACACGGCGGAGACGGTCGGCGCTAGGCGGATCTCCGTTTTCAGGTCCCCCGGCGGTCAAGTTAACAACCCAAAACCTGAGGGGAGTTTAGTGGGTTAAATGGACATCCAGCCACTAAACACCAACATCTAAAAAGCTAAGGAACTGGATAGCTGAGAGCCACCAAGTTTTCCCATGGGCCAACACACGTTTCGCCCGAATCAAGCGATGCCCTCAGAATGAGAGGAGCAAGGAAGAACTGGTGCTCCGAAGTGTAGCGTCACGGTGGTAAGCGCCCGAAGCAATATCTTGCTCGCCGGCGCTGGTGTAGATCTGTTCTAGGACATCCAGAGGTTAGAATAAGGGTTCCCAATCTTTTTTCTGTAGTCTATTTTAGTAGGGGAACCCTCCCCCAAAAAAAGAAACGGTAAAAGGGCACTACTGGGGGACCTAGTGTTTCATTGCAACAGTATGGAAGGTGGCGAGATCGGTGATGCTTCAACCAGAGACCCTCATGCAGGAAGGCGTCTAAAAGCCGACCCACTCACGGCCTGGCTCGATTTTCTGCCAGCCAGGCTTCCGTTGGCTCTTCCGAGCTCTCTGAGTCCAACTGCCCATGTTTGGAGTTTTCCAAGGGCCAGCAACATTTTGGAAGCCATCACCTCTGATGGCTTCACGCATCTGAGGGTGGATTCATCCGCAAGTCCTTGTGGCATGGGGTCCCTTCATACTTGGTTGCAGTTGACCCCCTGCAAAAAGTCTAACTGTTTGAGGGGTTTAGTGGAAAACACCTTGATTTCAACCAAAAAGTTGAAGTCTAAAGATCCAACCAGTACTCAGTTGCCCAAAGGACCTGGAACTAAAAGGTTCACCTTTTGGGGCCATGACCAAATATGGACCAACATGGGACAACCAAAAGGTCATTTCAGGCCGATTCGCTTTGAAGAAATGAGAGTAGCAGTTCAGTGGTTGGATTTCAACCACTAAACCACAAGCAAAAAGGTAAAATGTTTCCCAACAATTGGCCATGGGTCAAAATCCATACCAACCCCAATGTTTTGAACATGATGAAGGCGTCGTTCTTCCCAACAACAACCATGCCTGTGGCATGTCCCTTGATCCTTCGACGCCTGGCTTGCGCCTTCACTTCGAAGGCCGGGCCGTTCAGGCGGTTGGCCATGGAGAACATCTCCAGGGGCCCGAAGGTGTCCCACATCTCGAACCTACAGCTGACATGCAGCCACGAACAGCTGACATGCTAAAGCCAGAAAACCTACCTCCTCCAGAGAGGTTAGAATAAGTTGGCTCCCGATGTTTATTCTTTCTGTAGTCTATTTTAGTAGGGGAACCCTCGCCCCAAAAAGTTGGTGCACAGGCACTGGGGGACCTGGAAAGACCTCCCGGAAGGGACACCAAGAGGTCACCTTTGACATATGGCTGTGGCTCAAAAAAGTGGTACCAGAATGGCACCTTGGTAAATGGAACCAAAGACTAAAACCCGCGTAACCCTAGCTCTTTAATTTTGAGCCACACCCATATATACCCGCTTCGATTCGTGGGTTGCGACGTGGTTTGGACTTGGTTTGCGTTCTGCGACTGAGGGCGAACTTGAAACCAAGGTAAAACACCATCCCATGACTCACAGTGTGTCAACAAAAAAGGCGGCTGGATGCCTAGCTTGCAGTGTGGAAGCTGGTCATACACCACCACCACGAGCTGCAACGGCTTGCCAAAGGGATTCTTCAAGTCAAACGTCTTGGAATGCACAAAGGGATCCTCGCCAGGATCATCATTGTGTACGTATTCTGCACACTTGGCCGTCATCTTCGCCACCTTTTCTCCAAAAAGCTCCTGTTTGGCCGACAGTTCTCAGAGAGTCCCACGCTATCGACCTTCACCCGGGGGTCGTTCAGGCATCGGCTGCAAACACGCAATTGAACTTTGATAGGTATCACAGTATCACACGCCGTAACAGAGTCGTGCTCAACACTTTGCATCTCAAACCCCACGCTGAGAAATCACCAGGGTGGCCACACCTTCTCATGATAAAACAACTGTTCCCTAGGCATTACCCCAGTCATTCAGAGACACTGGCAGCAACAATACAAACCCCGCTTTTTTGGGTTGACCATTCTTGGCGGAGGAGCCACTGAACAGCTGAGTTACCCTCCCACCGATTCACATGACGTGCCGAAACCTTGTCCCTTTCAAATTAGGAAAATGGATTTTCAAACCACCCCCCAAACCTCGAAGGGTTCCATTGGTGGGAGGGCACTCACCCCTTTGACTCTTCCGCCTTTGATCCCTCGGAGGTCCGGTCCGGTCCTTCAGGAAGAAGTGGGTGAGGTCAATGCCCGCCGCGACCCCCGAGGAGCTGTAGAACTTCCCGTCGGTGCACCAACCTTACCGGATGAGCCCCAAGTCCTACTTGCAGCTTCACCCCTTGCCGATTCGAATCGGCGAGGAAACACACATTCTTCTGAGTAAATGGCTGGAAATAGGGCAAAGAGCCAACCCAAAGAAGTTGTGATTCTTAATGGCACCCCCCCTTTGGGCGCTTTTCAAAGGGAAACCAAAAGGAAACCATCCCCCTTTGTTTACACAAGCAAAAGGAAACCATCCCCCTTTGTTTACACAAGCCCACATAGCAGCCAAGCAACGGGCCGTCCGTTGCCACTTCACTTTTGGCCAGTTTTCGGCGATATCAATAAACGCCTCGCGAGCATGAGGGCGACACGCTCAGGAAGAAACAACTTGTCCTCTGACATCCTATCAGCTGCCCCCTTTTGGTCGCTTGGATTTGAGATTTGGGAGTTAGGCATGACTTTACTTGACCACAAGCCAGCTTCCCTCATAGCAGTTTGGATTGGTGATTTGGAGAACGGGTTTCACATCACCCTCAAGGGTTCTAGATCACCGGAAATCCAAATCATCAATCAAGGGCGATGTGATGTAACCAAGAACCCTTCAGACACAGGACAAGGAGATTTCCGCTGGGCTTGCAGAAGCGGACACCACCATGTTCGGGTCCCCCTATTTTGACACTTGCCCATATGAGTAGATGTGAGTAGCTTTGAGCAAATAGGAGTCTGCAAATGTGATGCTATGAAGGATTGAAGGATTAGGTCTGAGTAGTATACCTGCATGCTCCAGCGAGAAATGATGCTATGAGTCAACATGTGCGAACCCATGATTGCCGCAAAGGTTTGTGGTGCTGCTTCAGGATGAAGAACATTCTTCACGGAACCTGCAACAGAGCGTGAATGCGGCATGTTGCTCGGATGTTCCTTAATGATTAGGACGCGTCTTTTTTGCTAAGTCCGGGTTTTTTACGCACGCAAATCGTATGGGTACGGAATGGTCCATATGGTGTTGCGGGACAGATTGCCCTGCTTTCACCCGTTTTCGTCTCCACAAGTCCAGACGATTTCTCTTGGGGCCTTCCAAACGTCAATCTCCGGAGCCAGAGAAATGCAAACCTCCTGCATTTAAAGCGTAGGGATAGGGATCAGAAGCACAGGCAACCGCCGGCGACGCCCTCAAGGTGCATTGAAGCCCCATGGATTTTGTGGAAAAGGCAACCTCAATGTGTGTGTGTGTGTGTGTGTGTGTGTGTGTGTGTGTGTGTGTGTGTGTGTGTGTGTGTGTGTGTGTGTGTGTGTGTGTGTGTGTGTGTGTGTGTGTGTGTGTGTGTGTGTGTGTGTGTGTGTGTGTGTGTGTGTGTGTGTGTGTGTGTGTGTGTGTGTGTGTGTGTGTGTGTGTGTGTGTGTGTGTGTGTGTGTGTGTGTGTGTGTGTGTGTGTGTGTGTGTGTGTGTGTGTGTGTGTGTGTGTGTGTGTGTGTGTGTGTGTGTGTGTATGTGTGTGTGTGTCTGCTTGTCTGTGTGTCTGTGCGTCCGTGTGTCTGTGTGTCTGTGTGTGTGTGTGCGTCTTTGAGGCTTTTAAGCAGGAAGTTCCGAGAACAAATGTGCCACATATACAAAATATATGTTTCCTTGCTAATCAAGGGCAACAAAGCCTGCTGGAAGACCTATAAAAAAGAGGTACGCCAAGCACCGTTCAAAGTTTCGCCCCACACCCAAAACCCTAAATCCCTGCTCTCAAACTCCAGATGAACAAACCCCAGAGTCAGCATCCAGGTTTGCTGTCAGCATCTATTTTAAGCTGACCCAGAAATCCAGGCCCTGCGTCAGGGCTCTGTATCCTGGGTTGCCACGGTGCTACAGGATATATGTCAGTGTGTTCCCCCCCCCCGCCCAAACCCCAAAACCTGGAAAACACAACGCAAAAAACGAAAGAAAAAGAGACACGCCGAAACGCCCGCGCGCGCGCGCGGACTGTCCGGGTTCCAGGCACCCTCTTGTTGGTAGTGGCCACTTTCCCATCCAGCAGTCCCGCAGCTGCGAGCAGCAAGGAGCCCGTGCACACGCTCAGCACCAGCGTGGCCTCCGCTCGGAGCTTGCAATGCGCCCCAGGCCCAGCGACTGGTGGTTCTATCAAGCTGCTTAAGGCGTGGGCCCGTAAACCCATGAAACCAGGTCGAACCACCAACTGAAATCCCCAGTCATACCATAAATAAACACCTTCAGGAGGAGGCGGTCTGCAGGCCCGCCGGCCTGAATAATCAACAGTACAGTGAACAGAAGTGCGCTCCAAACTACAGTCTCTATACGTTTGACACTTCCCCCCGCTCTACCGAACATGCCTTTTGACGTCTATCCCAAAGAAAGCGGCGCCATAGAGGCCTAAAGCTCACTCAGATCTGCTAAAAGCTCAACTTTTTCGCGGGTTAAATCGGAGGCCCAACCACTAATCTAGCGCTTGTTTCCTTGTCCATTCTTTTTCAACCCTAGGCTGGGATTAGAACCCCAGCAAAAAAATATCCTTTTTGCCTGGGTAGTGGAAAACAAAGGGACCCCCAAAAAAGCAAAAAGGCAAAAAGGGGAGCTAATTCTGGAGAAGAACCATGGTGCTCTTTTCTGGAGGGTGTTCTAAGATTCGGATTGGGTTCAGAACGGGGGAGGTACCCCCGAACTGTGGGGGAGGCTAACCCCTTCATAGATGCCTTGATCCAACCCAGCCTAGGGAACTGGCGGGGAACCACCAAGGTGTGTCTCAAAATGAGGGACCCCCCCAAAAAAAAACAAGACAATGGAGGTTTTCCATGTGGCCGTGGGTCAACACCAATGTTTTGGGGTAGGTGCACCACCCATTTTAGTCCATTTTAGTGGGGATTGGGGGTGTTCACTGGGGGGTGGTTTTGACCCATAGGCATGTGGCTTCCTGTTCAAAACCGCCCCTTTACAGGGATCCTTACATTATACCCCTGAACGTTGCAACTTGTAAATGCTGGTTTCCAACTTTATTTTGGTGAAAAAAAAGCAAGCCATGTTTCAAACGGTTGGGCAAAATGGATCGATCCTTTAAGGAGCCCTGAACTTTACCTGCCACCTTTTTGCTTAACCCGCAAAAAGGTGGTTTGACTCCGCAAGATTCGCCTCCGCGGCCAGCACCCGGAGCTGCTGCAGAAAGCCTCCCGCGACCGGCCGATCTCGGTCTCCGTTTAAACGGGGGTCGCCGACATCTCCGGGGTCACGTTTTGACCCCCAAGGACGTCCCAAAACGGCCCCACGGGGGCTGGTTTTTGATAAAATGGCCAGTTTCGGGGCTGGTTGCTTGCTTCTGCGTGGGATCGGAATAAACCACCCCGCGCCTTTCCGTCATGTCAGGGGCCGTCCCTGAACTTGTTTTGCAGGCCAAAACCAGTGTAAACCGGTACTGAGGAGGAAAATAATGATACTCCCAGAAGACATGAAGACACACATCAGGTTCAAGTTGTTGTCGCAAACCAAGATTGCGGAATCATAAATTTGCAGGGGCCAAACCGATACCCAAACCGATGCCCCACCGATACTGAAAGGAGATCCCAGTTTAGCTGGTACTTGATGTTTTATCGGGTCCCGAACCCCCTGACTAAACTGGCTTCAATGGAAATGCCACACAAACGACCCAAGACTCAAACAACAAGATGGCGCAGCTCGCGCTTGCGCACATCCGAATCCCCGCTCGCCTTGGTCGTGCTGCAGCTTGCGTGTGCCCATGCCCCCCGGCACTAGCAACACATCGCACTCGCTTTTCGTGTCGTCATCCAACGGCTCCGCCAGCGTGGCCGGGCCATTCGTCGGCCTGGCAGATAAGATGGGGAGCGGCAAAGGAGACCAACGCTGCAAGACTTGTCTCTTGTCTTTCTACCTCTAAACCAACCTAAAAACAACCTAATGACGATGGGTTGCCCTTAGAACTTCCTTAAAAAGGGGGGCATACCTCAAAAACACCTGCAAATTACGTGGGGGGTTGATCAATATTCCCTCCGGCCCCCCAATGACCATGGGTAACTTTTGCCATGTAGGAAGTATCATCATTTTGTGGTTGTCCCCAATCAATGGTCATCCCATGTAAAGGACCCTTGCTCAACCCCCATAAAAGATTCGCATATGTCCTTGGATGTCACATTTCTCTCTGTCCGCTTTGCGCTGCAACCGTTCATGCAATTGGAACAGCGCTGCGTGTCGCATGCCAGCCTGCACCACCTCCGAGGATTGGGAAAGGATATGAACGAACAGTACTTAAGGTAGACAAAATAAACACTTTCAGGTGGATTTTTTTTTTTTTAGACAACCTTTTTGGGAAACCCGCAACAAATAGGTTCAAAAGCTGATCTGAACCTTCCCAACAATCTGGGAACCCAAACAAAACAAGAAAGCCACATGTAGAGATTGATTCATTGAGCTCATTTTTCTCAAGGGGTCATGATGCGAGCGGAAGCCTACGGTCCCCTTGGCGGGTTTCTGGAACTGCATCGAAAGCACTCACGAAAATGCATCAGCAACCCCGGGTTCTCTACTTGAGAGGGAGGATACAAAGTCGCTTTAAAAAATAAGTGATTCTTCCTAGGGGGACGGGACCACCGATGGTCAGGCGCCAATCATGGTTACTCAGCACTACTTATTACAAAACGCTGAAACATGACTTCCATTAGCTTAAGCCGCCTGGGGGAAAAAAACAGTATTGATAGATCTCCTCTAAAAACCAACAGGGGGAAATAACAAAGTATTCTTAAGCAAATGGATGATGACCAATAGCTTGCTCCCGTCACGACCAAATGAAGGTGCCACACCTCTTGGATGTCCAGTCCTGGGAAACCCGGACGATTTTGAGATTCTGGTTGATGCTCATCGGCCGCAACAAAGTGGTTGTCTCGAGGATTTGGACCCGGTCCCAAACTGGCGCATTTCAATCTGCTCCTGTTGGTCTTTTTCAGGGCAACCCCCCAAAAAGTATTTTCTCTTCCGGTTGGTTTTCCTTAAAAAAACAACCAAACAATTGGTTGACGTTGGAAGGGGAGCAACAATTTAAATCTTAGCAGTTAAGTGGTTGGATTTCAACCACTAAACCACAATAAGCAAAAATGTAGAATGTTTCCCAACAACAACCATGAACATACCACGGAGACCCTCAAACACCAGGGGTAAGCCACATGCCGCCGGGAGCCCCAAAAAGTCTTTCGCCGCGTCCGCGTCCGCGTCCGCCTGGCGAGGCCACCGCTCGCCACGAAGCGGAGCTTCAGCTGGCCCTTGGCGGCAGGCAGCACGTTGCAGCCCGCCAGGAGCTCCGCCTCGCAGGAGCTCCGCCGCCAGGGAAATTCCCACCCCCCCCCGCCCCCCCCCGCCCCAAGGATTTTGGTTGGAAACCAAGGGAGGCCCCAGGAATCCAAGGCAAGCCAGAAGCCAAGCCCAGTGCCATCCTTATATCAATACCAACCTGAAGGAACCGTCCCTTTTAGGGTGGAAATAGATGGGTTTCCCTGGTAGATGAGTAAACCACCAGGTAAACCAGGAATCGCCATCGAAATGTTCGACCAAAACAACCAAAAAGGATGGGCCAAAGGCCCTGGCCCTGGGTTGCTGCCCGCTTTTTTTTGGAAACCCCGGCCCAAGGAATCCAAAAAAAGAGAAACCCCAGAAACCCCAGACTCAGGGCTTGGAACCCTTCTGGGAAGCATGGGCCCTGGCAAATGGAGTGCCAGTCTAAACCCGTGCCATCTATGTCTAGAACCAAACTAACCTAAAACGAAAAAGACACCTGTGAATACAAGCGAAACCCAAGTGGCAACCCACGGAAACTCGACGAACTCGATGCCAACTTTGAAAGTTGTTCTTCCAAAGATGTTGATGCTGGAAAGGTACTTGGACCCTCAGCATAAGGGACACCCAAGGGAAACCTTTCCTTTTGCCTGACGGAAAGATTCTCCTCCAAGGGGGCATCTAAATCTGCCCGAACATTGCGCTCGCCAAACTCTGATGGGCATCCTTGAGAGCGCCCCTTACTTATTTCTGTCTCGCAAACGAAAAGCAGCACCTCTTATGTTAGCCCGCATCTGGGGTGCACAAAAAAACATTGCCAGGTTCTGCTTCATGATAAATCTGCCCTGAAATACACATTCGTTTTGCAGCAAAAGTTATGATGACATGATGAGACAGGGAGCATTGTATGCTCCAACTTTGGAACAGCTGAAGCCCTTGAACTTGACGGCAGTGGCAAAGTGAGCCGATGCAAACCCTTTCACCAACTGAGACCTCGCATTGTGACACGCAAACACAATTTGAGCCCAGCAAAAAAGGTGAGACCATTTTCGAGCCTCGACTGCCTCAACCCAACGCAACGTAGGCACCAACTCTTAAGTGTCAGTTGCCAAAGAGGAATGCCTCAACAAATAACTCATTCATGATTCCCGAAATCGGTTCTCCCATTTTGAGTTCCATGTGGGCAAACAAAATACGTTCTGCTCACTTCCTGAATAAATTGGCCAAAAGAAGTCTGACCTTTTTGTTTGCCACTAAGATAGTCTTCTCAGAAAGCTTCCAGTCCAGGAACTCAGGAAGTGAGTCTATTTGGACCCAAAGGCTGAAGATCTACCACCGAGTCGCAGGACCGTAGACGTCCAGCAGCTCGTAGTCGTCAAAAAGCACGACGACGATCGCCACGGAGCCCTGCGCAAGGAAACAAAAAAGCACGAGTCTGAGGGTTCTTGTATTGCAGCCTGGGATTACACCCCTGGGAAATGACCCAGAATGGTTCAAAATAACACGGTTTTATCCGGAGATGTGCCTAAATGGGGTCAATACCCAGTGGGTGTATTCCCAGGGTGTAATACAAAAATCAATAGAACGAGCGGTGCCCAAAACCGTGGACTTTTGGCTGTATGAACATAGCTAGATATAGCTAGTATTCAACAACCTGATTTCCCCTCCAAAAGTCATGATTCCCCACTTAACCCAGAGACACCCTTCTATTGATAAACTGGAGTTGATTAATGTAGGGGTCAACGATAGTTGGAACGGTTTATATTGGTAGGCAAGGCCCATATGAGTTGTAACCACCTCTTCTGAATTGAGCTGAGACGTGGGCAATTGCAGAATCACTTTTGGGTTGCGTGATTCTGCTCATGTCTATCTTGCTGATATGCATCTTTCTCGAACAATCATTGCTGAGGTGTATCTTGCTCATGCACATCTTGGCCATATGTGTCATGCTCAGCATATTTTGCTCATGAGTAAGTTGCCCATGTGTATCTTCCTCAAAAGCAGAGAGTGAACATATCTACTGTTCACCTTGCATAAATTCGTCCTGTTCGCATGCCTTGTGTTCACGCGTGACTTGCTCTTTCCGTCCTGCTCAAATGTGTCTGGACTTAGGTGCGTCTTGACGCAAATGTGTCTTGACTCAAATGTGCCTTGACTCAGATGTGTTTGCTCATTTGTAGCTATAGCTCGGCCATGTGTGTAGATAAGCAAACGCACTATCCCATAGGCAGATTTCTCAAGTGCATCTTGCTCATGTGCATTGCACCAGCGTGTATTTTGCTCTTCTTGCTCATAAATGTGCGATACCATGCTCATGGAAGGTCTGATGAATATGCAGCTTGTGTATGTGCATCTTGCTTGCATCTTCCCGTACCTTCCTCTATAAATAATGTGCTCACATGAATGTTGAGGTGCGGTGTATCTTGCTCATGTCAATGTGACATTCATTACCACATGCTCATGAATGTATTGCTGTGCAAGCTACCTCTCTGCCGCTCCTGTAGAAAGGATATGCGCAGCTGTGAACGTGTTCTTTGCGTGCAACGTTCATACTCGAAAACGACCAATCTCGAACCGGAGCTACAAGATTGTGCTGAAAGAACTGCTCTCTTGTTTAAAAGCTGCCACTTGCTGGTGTGCACCTCGCTGCGTGTCTCGCTCATATAGCGTCTCTGGTCTCTACGTCTCGAAGCCTGTCCGATGGCTCTCCTCAGATCCCCTGCTTAAAGCTTAACTCTTAGAGGGAAACATCGACCGCCCCTCTAGTCCCTAAAAACCTCAAAACCTCAAGGGGATGGCTGGGAACCACCAAGAAAAAACCGCCATGCCAGGTTTAGCGTCCCGGAACTCGCCAAGTTTCATTTGAGCACTGGGCCAGCCCGAAATGGGAACCCCCTTTTGGTTGTTTGCAAGGCAGCCTACTTGGAGGAGTCACCCATGTAAACTGAGGAGTCACCCATGTAAACTCCTATCCGGAGCTGCAACGACCCTGGCACTAAAGATCTGGTTGGTAAAGGGAAACTACAGGACACCGAACCCTTTCCTAAAAAGGAAGCAGAAGGAACCCTGAAAGGAAGCCAGAGGAAAACGGAGCAATAACCAAGCCTTGTGCTTTGATAACATTTTTTTCAACTCGCAGCAACTCTGCTTGACCGACAAAAACATATCGACGGGGCTGCTCGCCTTCTCCTTCAGAGTCTTTCGAAGGCTCTCCATAATTCGAGCCAGGCAGCTAGGCGGCTGCGTGGGGCGGGCTCAGCTGCGTGGGGAGGGGCCAATCTGAGAAACCCACTGTCTACAGGGATCCCATGATACACCTGAACATTGCCTTGTAAATGGAGGTGTCCCTTTATTTTGGTGGAAAAAGCAATGTTTCAAATGGGCAAAATGTATCTTTTAAGCAGCCCATTGTCTACCATGGCCGCAAACAGAAGTCCTGGTAGCTCCCTCTTTAAAGTAATTAGCCAGCTCCCGAACATTCTTGAACTGGGTATGGGTCAAAATTAAACCACCCCTAAAAAAACCGCAGGTGTTAGCCCTTGGTTCCATTTACCAGGGCTCCATTTAGGGTACCTATTTTTGACCCACAGCCAACTGCTGAAAGCTCCTGTCCTGAACTCCTAGCTCCTTGGCTCCCTTCCAACCACCGCCAGTTTCCAGTCAGCACGTCTTTTGCTTCACCGAGTTGGCCATGGGTCAAAATCCAAATCGTACCCCCGGTGAACATCCCAATCCAACCACTAAAATAGACTAAAATGGGTGGTGCGCCTACCGCAAAATGGGATCCCATATGATGCCATTGATTTTGACCCACAGCCAGTTGAAATAAAACAAAAACGCTCGAGGGGCACACTCAGCCAGAGATCGGGTGGATGGGCCAGTGCATTTTTTGTTGTTGTGTATACTTGATTATGAAGCCCCCCTCAACTACTTGCTTGTGCTCGGTGGGGAATGTGGGAATGAACCCGGGGGTCCCCACAGGGGATGGTTTATAGGGGTCGTTCCCTCATTCCCTGCTGCGCACCAGCCAAGTAGTTGGGAACATGAACACCTCTGCGGAAGCCAATGTCAAGTGGATCCCTGTTCCGTTCAACCCGTGTTTTCCACCACGCAACTCATCCTAGCCAAGTCTTGGCTTGGTTGACGTTGGAAGGGGAGCAAACACTTATTTAGCAGTTAAGTGAGATTTTCCACCAAGCCACAATAAGCAAACATGTAAAATGATGCTAAGGAAACAGACTTCCGCGCAGTAAAAGTGGTCACGGCATGATCCTCCTCAGGGCTTACCTTCTGGCCCTTCCACGGAGATCCAAGTGTCGCACTGGGGATTCTCCCAAAGGCCGGCAGACCCGGGGATCTTCCTTGGGGTTTGGGTTTAGCACAGCAGGCAGCTGAGACTGGATGTGGTGAGCACGAGACAGCGAAGCCAGCACCCCCCCCCCCAGCACCCCCTTTTCCCACGTCCAAACCCCAAGCACTGTCCAAAAAGCAGATGGGCGGGGGAGGGGTGCGAAAGGCGGCGCAAACCCAAAGCAACAACACCAGCAACAACAGCAACAGCAGCAACAGCAACAGCAACAGCAAACAACAAACAATAAGCAACAATGAACAACCAACAACCAGAACAGCAGCAGCAACGACAGCAACAACAACACCATACCAACAAACAACGACAAACCCAAAGGAACACTCCTGCCGCGTCTTCTGTCCCGCCCCGTCCTCGATGAGTTTGTTGGTCTCTTTCTGCTGGTACTCCGCCACATCCGTGGGGTCCTGGGTCTCCGAGTCCAGCTCGAAGCGGACCTGCGAGGCCGCGAGTCGCTGACCCGCGGCTTCGATCGGCAGTAATGAGACTTGGAATGACCCCCATAAACAATCCAGCTGCTGGTTCCTGCTGGTGTCGTGTGTGTTTGTTCGGGTCCCAAAATATGTGGGTCTGTCTTTTTGCTGAGGCCACCTTTTTTTTTCCGGGTTTTGCAGGGAAACCAAAACGAACCCCGAAGACATCTTGGGGTCCAACACCTTCAACCGCCACGCGCCTCCTGGGACGCCAGCTCGAGGGCGCCGGCGGCCACGCGCTTGGCGCGGATGATCCGCGTCAAACGCAGCAGGTTCCTGGAAAAGGGGGCAAAACGGTGTCCTTGTAGAAAATGGATGGAGGGGCATAATTATCTTTGACATTAAAACCTTTGTTCTACCATTAGAAAGCACTGCTTGTTTCTTGTTGACATTGGAGCCCAATCGATGGATGTCCAAAAAACAAACTCCCATGTGGGGGACATAATTTGGGTGTGAATCTTGTTTTGAGAACATTCTATACAGGGGTTGATTTCCGTTTCCAAGATCCATTTCCCCGCGTTGTTTGGTGGTTTTCTAGAAAGAAGGATCCCTGGAAAGAATGGGGAAGTTACCCCTAGACTGGTAGAAAAATCAATGGATGCTGAAATTCCCATGTGGGGACATAATTTGGGTGTGAAGCTTGTTTGAGAATATCCGTTCTGGACTTGCTGAAGGCGGAAAACCACATTCTTCCTCCATTTGCTTCTTCGCCCCCTGGAAAAATAATGAATCCGGTAGATATAGGCTCCAACTTTCAAACCAAGGGAAAATAAAACATATTCCTTTCGGCAAAGGGAGGCAAAAGGACCTCAAAAAGGACCTCAGCTCGTTGATTTGCCTAAAGGTCCCGAAAGTAAAAGCTTAACCTTTTGGAGCCATGACACAAAATGGAGATAAGGGAAACCAAAAGGTTTGCTTTGGACAACTGAGCAGGTCGCTGATCTTTTCTGCAAGTGATCAACTTGTAAAGGTGCATGTGCCCTGCGATCATGTGCTTGACTTGTTCGGACAATGTTATAAATCGTGATGAATCGACATCGTCAGGAATCCCTCCAAACACTCAAGATCCCAATGCTACCCTTCCAGGGGGTCCCTACATTTGCCAAAGGAGAGTTAGCACTCTGGCCAAAACATGGCTACGTTTCTTTGGGCAGTGCTTCTGGAAAATTCACATGCAACTGACTGATCGGGCTAGATTGTGAGCGCCTGCTTTTAATTTTTAAGTTGGCACCTGTGGGGTTGATTTCAAGGGAAGCCACGCGGAACCTCTGGGGAAAAAATGGCAACAGGGAAACAACGCATTTCCCTCCGAACCAATTTTGGGGAATGACGGCAGCCCAATTAATGCTGAACTCCTTTTCACAATTGTTCGCCGCAGATTCTGCCTTTCAACTGGTTCCCTGATTGACAATACAAAGACTGCGAGTGTCTACACTTCTGGAAAGTTCTTTCATTGTACGACGAAGGGCTGCCAGCTGGTCGTCTTGAATTGCATCAACGGATATGCCCATACAACAGGAAAGGCCCTCATTGACAACCCATCCTGCCAAAAACATATTTTACCGGAGGAAGTCCGACCGGACGAACTATGGAGCAAGTTCAGCTGGCAGAAATCTGGCAAGGGCTGAAAAACAATGGCAAGGGAAACCACCGCTCCAAAGACTGCCTCTGGATCTCAAGTGGACGAGAACCAGACCCATGCTGTTTGAGGGAACTCAAAGCAGCTTGAAGATCTTCCTGTGCTTCTTGGAATGGATCCACGAAACAAAGCTTTCCACCGGTAGAGCTCCATCTGGCGCCCTCTGGCGCCTGGTCAGTCCACAAGGTTTCAATGCCGCAGTTCTGTCTGTTTGCGTGTCCTTTTGGGAATTTTTCGGAAACCAAAAGGCCCTCGGAATTGAAAGGAAGCCAGAAATGGCGCAAGCCCACTATCATCCTTATATTAGTACCCACCTGAAGGAACCGTCAAATTTTAGGTTGGAAATAGATGGGTTTCCCTGGTGGATGAGGAAAAAAACCCACCAGGTAAAGCGGGAATCGCCCAACCGACTTTTTCTGCCAACACAACCATAAAGGACACCTATGCCTATGTTTTGTCAGGGCTGTGGGACATGCCCACGAATCTGTGATACCAAAAGTGCTTCCCAAAGACTAACCCCAATATAAGAGATTCCCGAAGATATCACAGAAGTGAAAGATAAACCCCTTGATCCCACAACCCGGTGTTCCTCTCTCTCCCCTAACCTTCAAGCGACTGGGTTTGACACCCTTCAAATCCAGAATGGCATGGCACTTCCACTGCGAGCTATTGGCCTTTCCCTCGCTACTATTTTGGTCCTCTGTGCAGGGAACGACCTGAGGCACACTCGCCAAAGTACCATCGGACTCCACTAGACATATAAATTTCAACAAAACTCCCATGTGGGGACATAATATGGGCGTAAAGCTTTTTGGAGGGTATCCGTTTTGGAACTTGCTGAAAGTGGAGACCAACATTGACATGTTTTTTTTTGGGGGGGCCTATTTTGAGACACACCCATACCCATGCTCTAGTCGGACAGCTGCTCTCTACAGTCGCTACCAGTCCTGAGGGAGGTCGTGATCTCAGATTGATCCTGCACAAGATCCGGCCCAAGGATCACTCAGCGAAAGCTCACCGGTGTCTTGTCTTCAGGGTACCCAAGTTTCATGTTGGTTTAAAGGTAAACCAAGGGAAAACCACAAAATAGTGGTGCTCTGCCCCCCCCCCCCCCCGGTCCAAACGACTCAGGGCCTAGGGCTGATAGAGACTCGTACCAGCGACCTGCTTGGTGTCATTCCATGCACACTCCAGTGGCGTTACCCCAATGAATTTAGCAAGGCATCGGGTCTGATTAGAAGCTATGCATGTATGATATAATATAAACGTAGACAACATAATACGTATACATGTATATGTATGCGTATATTAATAATACATATCAGTGCATAGTTGGTAGCTTGCAGGGTTAAGCAGGCATTGCTGCATCAGTGCACTTTCAGCGTTTACAAGATGGGACGTCGCAGGGCCCATGACGCTCGGTTAAAGAAAGGGCGGCTGGAGGCATCTTCCGAGTCACCAGTCGCGGAGCATGACGTTTGGTCTAGCCGTCACTCATCCGACGGAGAAACCTGCTGAAGCCCCAAGACAGCTACCGAAGGCAAACCAGTTTCAACTAAAACGACCCCGACCAACCAATGTCTCCGCACGTTCCAAGCTCAAAATCGCAGCTTTGCCACTTTATCCCCAGGGTTGCAAACCTGCACTGGTTTTTCTGATTGAGATGATCTAGGATTCCATTTGTTTTCTGCCAATTGAAATCTGTAGGTGGCAATGCAAGACTGGAACCCAGTTGCGATCAAGACCAAGAGCTGGTAATAAAAGACTGCAGAATCGCACACGACCGATGTATCGATACTGCAATTGGCACCAGGCATGTCTGTAAGTTTGCCACTCATGACGTGACTCCCCCGAAATTACACAGACTTCCAAATGAACCTTCTGATTCTTGACGAGTTTGGGTCATTTCGCCAGGGAGTCATGTTATACAGTAAAACCCGTCGAACCACCACTCCCCCCTGCCTGTGGGTCGTCGATGCGTGCCTGAGCCTCTGCATAAGAGAGAGCCTCCCTTGACTTGATGATGGCCTCACGGCATCGTCAAAGTGTCGGAGCGGAGCTACTGACAAGCGCTCAACAACAGCTGGCTGCGAAACAACATACCTGCGAAGCCCGTGTGTGCGCGAAAAAAATGCCTTCGAGCAAAAAACACCAAATTTTGGTCGTTGTTCGGAACAAAGATCGTTGTTTGGAAAGAAGGTTGGCTTTGTGAAAAGGTAACCTGGCTCATCTAAGATTTCCGGACTTTTCCGCCCTTTGCCGTTTGTGTCCGCCCTTGTTTCGGGTTTTTCCGCCTTTGTTTGGCCTTCCCAGACCCACTCTACCCACGAAACTCCAAAAAAAGATCGAAATTTAGAAAAATGCTGTTTCATCAAAAAACAGCTTTCTCTCGAAAAGACTGAAAAAGACACACAAAGGGCTTCACAGGTATCCATCCTGTTCTTTTCCTGGGAAAATCAAACAATCATGTGCATTTAGCATCCAAACACTGTGATTATACGAGTCATAATCAAAACCCGGTATGGTCTACCCAGAACCACTTAAAGAATTAAGAAGGCAGCCTCAACTATTCATGGTCGGGATTGTCCCTTACTGTTACTACATTCACCTACCCGGGTTTTGATTGTAGCTCATCGAAATCCACTGATATTACCAGAAAGGTTGCCTCACGAGCTATGTCAAAATGCACTTGCAGCAACACTCCATGCGGCATATCATGCTGCCCACAGAGATATATCCTGCACGAAGGAGAAAAAGGAGGCACTCCCTGCAAATAAACATCGAACTCAGGGGGTTTTTAAAAGGAGATTCCTCCACAAATGACGGTATTCTTGATTCCATGTAAATCTGCAGGGGTGCAATTTTCTGCGAAATCAGTGATGAGCCCAATCTTTCCGCGACTGCTTGCTGTGCTCCCGCTCTGTCACGCTCTGTCATGCGGCGTTGCTCACACCTTCCAAGTTGTCACTTGTGGGTTCTGCGGCCTCCGGATGTGATGCTTCACAAGCGCGGCGGTTTTTGCGCGAAGCGTGAGGCCAAACGACACCTGCGCAAATGAAGGGAGAAGAGAAACACGCATTGTTTCCGCTGCGTGTTTTCCAACACATACACAAGCGCCCTGTTTCCAAAATGTGAAAAACCAGTTGCAAGTTCCAAGCTATGTCTCTATGATAAAGCACCAAGCACCCAGCCGCCAAAATATGTTTGTATGAGTTCATTACATCATTCGTCAAGCCCCGCAATGAGTCGCAGGTTGGTTTGTCCAGCTGGCGCCCGGGTGCCCGCGGAAACATCCCACTCGTCTTGAGCCGGGACAATCCGAAAGCACAACTTCCTTGGCACTCTAACAACCCAACTTCCAACCCAGCCAAGTAGGTTGCCAAAATCAGTAGCACCAACCTTTGCAACCCTCGGTATGGCTGCAAAAATATGTCTTTTGCAGCTGCCTGCTGAACATGAACAGAACCCAAACAAATCAAACAACGAACAACTTGCCAACAACAGTGAAGCAACCTAAACCACACCCAAACTTCCAACCCTGAACCTGCCCGCCTTGCAGTACTTGGTGTCCACCACCTCTGCTTCCGGCGTCATCTCCCAAAGCACGGAGAAGGTAAGGCGCTCAACCTCAAGCATCTCTCCAAGGAACAAGGCGGAAACCGGCAGGACGTCTTTGCGGATATCAGCATTTTAGGCCCCAGTGGTTCTCAGCATGAAAAATATTTTTCCAGAATATCGCCTCGTCATTCACGCTAGACCTCCCCCTGGAGGCGTCACAACACTTTTGGGTGAAGGTCTACCAGCGCGCTCATGGTCGAGGGCTGTTGGCTCGGGGGTTAAGGAGGCCTTTTTTGCAGGCGGTTCTTGGATGTCAAGGAAACGGTATGACACGGAAAACAACTTCCACCCGTGGCTCCTACTGAAACCCCCAGGTTCCTAGACTTCCCGGTAGCATCACCCGGGCGAGCTCACTCCAAAGCAACCAAAGGATTATGTTCTCCACGGAAAGGGGAAGAAGTGCCCTGGGAACCCGAAAAAAACAGCTTGAAGAAATCGCACGAAGCTCGGGCTGTGGAAGGCTATGGCAGGAAAACCTGACACCAAGCAAGTGCTGGCTGGCCCGTTTCATGTTTGACACATGCCATGTTCGACTGATGGACCAACCCTGAGGTGCAATTATTGGTCTTTATGCTCCCCCTCGAACTTATACTAGGTCCTCGAGTAGAGAGATTAGAATAAGGCTACCCTCTTTTTTATGGATGTCTACTTTGGTATATTGGGGAACCCCACCCCAAAAAAAAGGGTAAAAGGGCACTCCTGGGGGCCTGGTATAGATTAACCGGGAGTTCGCACAGGTTGAAAGTCAGGCAGTTGATCTGGGGGTTCTCCGGGGCCGAAGGCATTTCCCCACTTCCGGACGTCCCTCGCGCCCGTGTCCGCTCCAAGGTGCCTTGCCACGGAGGGAGCAAATGTCCGTGGTCAGCAGGCCTGGCCCGTGCCTTTTCGGCGGATCTGGTAACACCCAAATGGCCCAAGCTGTAGAGGAGGTTCACTTTTGCCCTGGAGAAGATTACCCCATATCATTCTTACCAGAACATGAGGCTACAGCCATCTTGTCTCGCTCGAATCAACTAAGTGTCCTTTTCACATCCGGGCTCGAACAAGCCGACGGGCCCCCAAGGGGCCAACCCTTGGTCCAAAGACCCACATTGCTTCGGAGTTGGCCTATTCAAAATGTTAGTCTGGGCTTTTGGGGTGTTGAACATCCGTTGCTTAGTCCTAGGGGAACGACTTTATTCTTAGTGGGCAGGGATTAAATGGGCCATTGGATTCATGGCTCATTTGAACTTGAACCCCGGCTCTTGATGCTGAATGGGGGCTTCCCCTCCTCAACCAAAGCACAAACCATCCAAAACAAGAGGTGAGCTGAAAAGACGGGTCTTTAATTTAAAAACAAAAGCAAGAGAACAAAAAATGAAGAAAAACAGAAACAAAAAACGACTCGACTCTCGCCAAACTTGAAAAAAAAAAGCGACTCGAGCTGAGGCGAGGCACCCGGAAGCATGTCCGTGCGCCGCTCTACGAGGTACACCTCGCTGGCAGTGTTGGATTTCTGGGAGGGGTGTGGGCTGAGGGGTGGGGTGGGGCCTGGGATGGGGGGTGGGGTGGGGGCTGGGGTGCTGGGGTGGGTGGGGTCTGGGGTGCTGGTGTGGTATGGGGTGGGGGGTGGGGTGGGTGGGGGGTTGGGTGGGGGTGGGGTGGGAGTGGGGTGGGAGTGGGTGGGTTGTGTGTGGAGGTTGGTGTGTGCTGAAAGGTGTGGAAAGGTTGAAGCAGCGTAGTTGCTGACAATTTTGCACACTCTGAGTTGTCCTTCTTGGCAATGGCTTGAAAAAACACAGCTATTTGCGGAACGGCGATGTGGACAGCCTCCAAACCTGTGGGAAAGTCCCTTGTGAAATTGGAGGCAAACTGTTGCGCCCTAGACCGCTTGCCTGTGTTTGGTTTCACGCGGCTTTTTTTGTACTGCATGTTCAAGCTTCTGCGGTGATTGCAAATAAATCATACTTGACTTGGGCTCGGAGAAAGAGAACAAGGACAAGACATAGTCAGATGCGTGTGTCTTTTTTTAGGGGACCCCCCACATGGTACTGTTCTGTTGTTTTCCCTTGAAAACCACAAAAACAACACCCCCTAAAAAAACGTCACACCCAAATCGTCGAACAACAGTCACAGAGGACAATGCCGAGGCGCTGTGGTGCATCTCTCTGCAGCCTCGCGGTCAATGGCGGTGTCGGGGTGCACAAAGTGGGTGACATCCGCGATGTGGACTCCGACCTGGGAAAGGCCCTCGTGACTGGCCCGTCTGTGGGGCTGAAGAGCACGGTTTCATCCCATCTGAAAATGCCAGCTGCGCTTTGCAAAGAAGAAAACACCTTCATGTAGAAGCATGCCTCCTCCAAAAGAAGTTTTTTTTGCTTGCGGCTTCCACTGGAACTGACACTTTTGGAGGTTCCAACAAGGGAAATGGAGGAACCGACAGCCTTCGCTTGTCCCCCCTCACCTGTCTATAAACATTTCACGACTTCCCCTCTTGATGCTTGGGCAGCAAGTCTCAGCTTGTCCCAGGTCGGGAGCCATTTCAAACAGATCTATATAGCTATGACTTGTTGTAGAGGACCCCCCCCAAAGAAGAGGGCTTCGGTGTTCCTCTTGCTTCTCGCTTAAACCAACCCCAAAAGGGTCCCCCTAAAAAAGAGAGAGACACACCCATATATTGCCAGATATGACTGGCAATGCGCCTAGGTCAGTAGAAAACAAGTAGAAAACCAAACTCAAACCAATACCATCTACTGTCGAACAAACTGAAACTGTCCAACCAAGCTGACCTCGTCATTTCACCAGTGCACTAGGCCTCCGCACCCGAAAGTTGCCATTCGCCAAGGGCTCGCACGACACCGCGTCATCGATGTCCTTGCCTGACCGGCAAGCAAGCGATTGCACGCGGTGTCCAGACTCTCTGTGTGGGTGTGTTTTTTGGGTGGTACCCTTTTGGGGTTGGTTGAAAGGAAACCCAAAAGGAAAGCCGCCATTTCTCCAGGCGCCCTACAAAAAGACACACCCAGGTGTCTGTGCGTGTCTTTGAGTTGGTGTGTGGTGTGGTTTGCTGTTGGTTGTTGGTTGTGTTGCTTCCTTGGCTGAGTTGTTTATGTTGTTTTCTATAACATCCATCCTTGTATCGGCATCCAAAAGTGGCAATCCATGCATCTAGAAGTCGAAGTGGCCACACAATTATCTATACCACATGCGGCAAACAAGAGAACGCCATGGCTAGATATGGCCTAGACATGGGTCCTCAGGCCAGTCTCCCAGCCAAGCCGTGATTCCGCCGATTGCTTGATGCTGAAATATCACAAAGGTACCTCGTGCTTCAAGTGTCCAGTCACTCGATGCTGGCCCTGTTGGGAAAAGCTTGGATATCGTCCAATCGCTGAGTACCACAATAAGACCCCTTCAGGCAGACGAAATGATGAGCACTTGGTGTCAGCATCCTTGCTGCCACAGTCTGCAAATCCGGTGCACGTGTCTATGTTTCTTGGGGACAAGTTGTTCAAAGGGACCAAGGTCCCATGGTTTCTGAAGGGGAGAATTCTGGATGAGCAAATCACCGTGCTTTCGTCCATGAAAGAAGGGCAAGCAACCTACTGTGGATGGACAAAATCCTGCACCACCTAAGCAACCATGAGACACCATGGTTGGTTGGTATTTACAGGGCAATCAACATTCCAGGGCTTCTTAGGTGGTGCAGGATTCGTCCATCCACAGTATCAAATCCAAACTGAAAATCATCACCGGGGCACGCAGCCCCAACCGCCGTTCTCGCCCAAACGTGTGCTTGCATCCCGGGCGCAGCCAGGCGGGTCCACGGAGCAAATGCAGACCTTCCGCAAATCCTCTCCTGGGCTGAAACCGGAGCATCCTATTTGGAAACTACTCTAGGTCCTCTAGAGAGGTTAGAATAAGGGTACCCTTTTTTCTGTAGTCAATTTTAGTAGGGGAACCCTCCCCCAAAAAAGGGTAAAAGGGCACTACTGGGGGACCTGGTACTAACTTAACCGTTCGCAGCTTGATTCGCTTGGCGTCCCATCGGACGCCAATCGGGACTAAGAGACCTCCAACTAAGCGAGAGCCTCATTGTGACTGATCTCATGCGATCCCCTTGGTCTGGCCGTGTTGAACAATCAGGGCAATGTGTTGACAGGGAAGCCTGCACGGGTGTGCACCAAATTCCATCCCCTTCTATTTAGGAATGGGGACAGCATCCACTTGTGGTCTCTTTGAGTAGGCAACAGGACATGTGTCAAAACTCGTGGTTCGTGGACCTCAATCCCAGAAATTGGACTTTCCGGGGTTCAAGACAGAGTCTGAAGTCTGAGTCAAATCAGACATTCAGTGGAATGGTAAACTGGGCATCTCTTGTGGTTCATCCTTGATTTTGGGGGGACGCCCCTCCATGGTTGCCTTTCTGCGATACCGAAGTACTTGGCTCCCATGATTACTTTGAGGGGAACTCCCGTAGGTGCAGACATAGACGATCTCGAGATCGCTCCGACTAGGAAGTTGAACCCCAACGGAACACACACGTTGACACACTAACGCATCGACTTCTGCAACAGGGTGCATCACCAAAAAAAGGGGCCGGCCCTCAAACCCATAATGTCCACAACCATGCACCGGGGAAGGGGGGGGGGGGTTCCAGTCCCCTCCAAAGGGAGATGAACTTCAATTCGGGACCCTTTGGACATTTAGGGGATTGTCCCCCGGGCACTAAAAGGATCGAGCTCAAATCAAACCTCATACAGAAATCAAACTCCCACAAACCCTGAAAAATCAATATGGGTGGCTCGTCCTCTTAAGTTTGTACTCCCAAAATGGTTTGGGTTTCCTTCTGGTTTCCCTTCAAAACCACCCAAGCAGTTGGGAACCCAACCAAAACAACGACAGACCCATAAAACAAATACTGTATTAGCCCCAAATTCATGGACATCTCCCGGAACGAATGGAATTCCCTTTATCTTGGATATATTCGCCAACCCCTCAAAAACGCCTGACCCCTAAAACCAAAAAAAACTGGAGGGGTGGTGGGATTTATTGTCCCCAAAAACGGGTTACGACGCCTCGATCCCCCGGCCCTTTTTGGGAATGTTCGCGAATACCGGACGGGTGGCAGGAACTTGCCCCCGAAACTTGGGACGGGAAATCGCCCCGAAGACTTTGGACGACGCGCCTATATCCCGCGGATGGCGGTGATTTTTGGGGGAAAAACAATCCCATCGACGCCCCCCCCGCGGGCCTTTCGGTTGTTTTTGCTTTTTCCCTTTCGCATCCGGGGCGCTGCCTTTGAGATCCGCCGCGGCCGGCTGCCAATGCGCGGCGGGCAGACAGCGATACACCGCCTCGCTGAACTCCCGGGTGATGACGCCGTGCCTCAGCGACGCAAAGACGCACGGACGAGCGCGCAAAAGCGGGGGCCATGTGGATGGACGAAATCCATTTCGCACCACTTGGAAACCATGGGAAATGGCGGTGGCTCAAAATTAAACAGGAGGGGCAAACCACAGGTTTTTGTCCATGTTTCCTCTTACCATTTTGGTACCGGTCTTTTGAGCCGCAGCCAAATAAGTGCTTGTCGGTATTTACAGGGGAATCATGGTTCCAGGGTTTCTTAGGTGCCATGACTTGCATCAAGAAGATCACACGGCTTTGAGGGGGGAGGGGGCTGCAAAAAAAAGACACCACGCTTTCACAAGACTAGAGTAGACAACAATATGTTTTCCGCCTCCCACCCACCGAATCTGCACAGGAAAAAGTGTGGTCCATCGGTCAAAACCCAAATCGTACCCCCAGTGAACATCCGATTCAATCCAACCACTCAAATAGGTTCTAAAAAATGGGTGGTGCACCGAACACCCCAAAATGGGATCCCATTGGTTTTGAACCATGGCCAGGTGGACAAAAGCTAGGTCCTCCAGTTTTGGAGGTTAGAGTAAGGGCCAGTAAGGGTAACCCTTTTTTTCCAGGACGTCTATCTTAGTAGGCCTCCACCCAAAAAAGGGGAGAGAAGGGCACCTAGCTGGGGGACATAGACAAATCCAGTTCGCACGACCTGGAAACCATGGCTGAAGCCATAACGTTTTTTGGTATGTGCAGGGGAATCACATCATTCCAGGGTTTTTTGGGCGGTGCAGGATTCTGTCCATCCACATGGCTGTCCTAAACTGGTAAAAATCGATGGGTCGCCCTACATGGAACAATACCAGTCTAAATTTAAAATTCAACCAAAAGGAATTGGACCTCGTTCCATTTCCCGAGGTTCTATTTTGCGGTTACCCTTTTTTGACCCACGCCCGGATGATGGACGCACTTGCAAACTGTGGGCCGAAATGATTGGAAGGTGCTTGTCTAAGGGCCTACATCACATTGAGGGCCAAGCAAAATTAGCCATAAGCAAAGTCAGTCATGATTGAAGCCAACATCACTACCTCCCATGGAAAATGACAAAGGGAGGCCTGAAGACTGATTTCCCCAGAGAAAATGGTGGGTTCCATATCAGGTGTACGTGTTCAGATCTGCTTATGAATTTCAGGAGGATCCCTCTCAAACAATCCCAACCTAAATGATGCGAACCAAAGGGCCGCCAATGAAAATTCAGACCAATCTCAAAGTATGAACAGTGCTTCAGACGGAACACGACTACATTGCCCACGTAGTTTGGATTGTTTTCTAACAGGAACGAACAGAACAGAACTAACACATATCAAAGAGCCGTCAAACTAAACGCGGACACTTGTGTGAAACCAAACGCAGCCGATCTCCCTCGCACAAAAAGGATAATTATCCAAAGCCGCAATAGATTATCAGTTGCCTGGGAATTTTATGAGATCAGGGAGAGTTGGAGGGAGGAGTCGGAAAGGAGTCAGGCGGAATTGAGGCAGGCGTAAGGAATTGGGAATGCGTGAGTCAGAAGGGGAAAGGATTCAGAGCCAGGCAGTCGAATGAGGTGGCATGGTCAGCTTATTTACGTGAGGAAACCTGTACAAAGTCGACAAAAAGCGGACAGGGAAGCAAGCGCTAAAGCAGAAGTGGCAGATGTATAATATGTTCAATGCCGCAATAATCCTACTGCTATTGCCCTGCATGGTATAAGTATTTTGTGTAGGTTGCTGGTTGGTCTGGCGCATGCGCAAGTCACCAACATTCCGCCATTCAGCTTTAGCTTTCAATCAGTTTCCCCCCTCCTACGCCTCTTGTGGCACGCACGCACGACGTGCGTATGCGGAATCCAAAGCTCTCCGTCTATCCGATTGGCACAAGAAAGCTGTTCTAGTTGTTTCTCCCTGCCTCCCGTGGCTCTTTGTGTACGCACGCACGACGTGCGTATGCGGAATCCAAAGCTCTCCGTCTATCCGATTGGCACAAGAAAGCTGTTCTGGTTGTTACACCTTGCCTCAAGAGGCTCATTGTATATACGCACGCACGACGTGCGTATGCGCATGGAAGCAAGGGCGCCCCCTCTCGAAACAAGCGGAACAAAAGGCACCGCAGAGTTTGGCAGTTGAGATCAAAAAGCGGCACACACTTTTCAACAGATCACCATGCGGCAGCATCACTCGGTTGCTTTCTGCTCCCCTGCTAAAAGTTCAACTTTTAGAGGTTTCATGGAAAACCCATTAGTTGGCAGAAAGCTAAAGTCCAACATCCAAGCAAGATGCACCAAAGATCAGTCTGGGCCTAAGGCAAGGGCTCATGAAGGATCACCATGCTCTCGATGTTGCGGTCGCCCACCTGGCCCAGAATCTTCGTCCAATGTCCAGAAGGGTAGTGGCTGAACCGGTCCCAGCCGTCCAGCACCACCACGATGCGTTTATTTTCCTAGACCGGAATTAGGACCCCAGCAAAAACATGATCTGTTTTGCCCGGTGGAAAACCAAGGGAAAACCAAAACAGCCGGAAAAATGAAAAAACAACTATTTCTGGGGAAGTGTCCAGGTTCGTGGAGTGCCGGGTCTTGATCATGATGTTCGGAAGCCTCGCGTCAGTGGGAATGAAGATGCGGTCCGACTTGTTGTAGTTGTCCGGCCCAGTCTCCTGCTCAGCTTCTTACGCTGCGTCTTACGCTGCGTCTGCGCCAAGCTAGGGCGCCGTTTTCTTTTTTTCTTCTTTTTTACATTTTTTTCTGAGGGGACCAACGTAAAACCAAACATTTCCTAGGTCCTCCAGTAAGTGTACCAACTTTTTCCCCAAAAAAAAGAAACGGTAAAAGGGCACTACTGGGGCACCTAGTTTCACGTGGTAAGGGCATGGAAAGAATCCGTTTTTCCCCCCCCCCCCCTCCCCTCGGGGGACTGATATTGAACGAATCAGTTGGAGCATGGAAGCGGCTCTCGGGATGCCATCGACTTGTCTTGCAATGAGCTGAAAGAGGGATCCCCCATTAAATTCTAAACACCGATCTTATGTGTATATATATATTAATATATATATATATATATACATAACAAAGGGAGACCATGATTATTCATTTGACTGGCATGGTCTGCTACAAGCCACCCAGTGAAAAATCATTCTTAAACGATGTCCTGCTGCCGCTCAGCATGAAGAGGCCGCAGCGTGCCGCAATACTCACGCCAGTTCCGCTTGATGATGCCCACCTTGGTCTGAGAACATTTCATGCCGGAAAGTCAAAGGCCTGGAAGGGCCCTTCAGAAAGGGGGTGTCTCAAAAAGCTTGAACCCGGTTTCGCCGGTTTAAGGTTGATGCCCCATGGGTCTGTTCCGTGGAAAACAGCGAACAACATGGACAAAAGACACTCCTTCAACATAATGGACAGCCAAAACAATAGGCGCCAAAGTGGCCATGAGTGAAGAAGAACTGCTTCGATTAAAAACGGGAAGGGTGCATGTTCAGTGGGTCAGTCGTGAGAATCCCTCTCAGACTGTGAATTTGAGTCTAACCTTATTTCAGTCTAGCTAAGGTTCTTCAAGTTGTCGGTACAAGATACTACACGAATACGGTGGCAGCTCCAGCTCGAGGTCGAGCAGATTTTCCTATGACCATTTTGCAGGCACAATCGGAATCTCGGGATCTCTCCTCTGGGTTCCTCAAACAAAGCACTTTTGGGCACTGGTGGCGTAGTGCCGTCTGTTGGAGGCAATGCCAAACCTTGGTTGCTGTTGACCCCGCTGCAAACTTCTTTGCGTGTCTGGTTCCCAAATACCAAAGTCCAAGGATCCAGCCAATCAGAAGTACAGTTTACACGGGCCATTTCCCCCCACAAAAAACATCCCAGGACCCAAGCAAATTGGCCATACAGCTTACAGCTTACACTCACCCTTGATTTGGCCACCCTTCCAGGGTATGGCTGGCCGTTCTCTTCTTGGCCACGGCACGATGCGGCCCTTGGCGCGCTCCGAGGACGGAGCCGCCGCGCCTTCCTTGAGGGTGTCCGTCGCGGAGGGCGCCTCGCATCGATCGATCACCCTGGCGTCCAGATGACAACGGGCCCCGTCGTGGGCGGTTCAGCTTTTCTTTCTGGGGGGAGGGGGGGCTCAAACGGAAACCAGCAGTTTGGTGGGTCCCCAAAGAATGACACGCCGACATGGAGGATCTGGAACATCCATGTTTAGTAAGACTAGTGAGCCTGGCAACGCAAAATGGGAAAACATGAGAGGTCCGAAAGCCTGGTATGGTGGACACGCGGAGGTTAGCTCGAAACCACTTCTTTAGCTAACAGGTGCTTGGAAACATCCCAATTTTGGTACAATAAAAAATCCGGCTCACAGTCCCCTCGGCGGGGAAGAGACGCCAAGATCTGACAGTGGGTCAAAAATAGGTTCCCAAACATGAGTTGCCGTAAATGGAAAGCACAAATCCTGGTACTACCAGGATTTGACCCATCTGACAGCGTGAAAGCTTTGGTCCACACCGAAAGCTGACGGCCCAAGGACCTGTGTCAGGCCTGCAATATGTCAGCTCTCTGCCCACCCCGCATCCCCCACCCCATCCTATGCTGCACCCCATCCCAGCACACCCGCCCACCCCCCCACCCCACATCCCACACCCCCACATCCCCCACCACATCCCTTACCCCACATCCCCCACCCCCTCACCCCCCCACCCCCCCACCCACATCCCACCTCCCCCCCCCCCGCGCCTTTTGGGTGGCCCCGAAATCCTCCTCCGCCACCTCCCGGCGCAGCCTCTTGTCCGCACGCTCCAAGCTCTCCGCGTCCTCCAGGCGCCTGGACTTGGACGGTTTTCTTTCGCACGGCGCAGGGGCCTGTTTGAGAAGGTGAAGGGCCTCACAAAACAGGCCTGAAAGAAAATTCCTTAAAGAGCATTTAAGGCTTGAAGGTGGGACGTGAGACTTGAAGGTGGGGCTTGAGGTGGGCTTGAGACTTGAAGGTGGGACTTGAGGTGGGGCTTGAGACTTGAAGGTGGGACTTGGTGCTGAGAATAGAAATAAGTGTTGTTTGAACCAGCCATGGGGAGTTTGATTTCGCTGCATGGTCTTGCAAGTCAGTGAATGCAACTTGGGGCGAGGACCCAAACCACAACGGCTAAGCGGTCCAGATGAACCAAGGGGATCGCAACGTGCAGGTATAGGGCTATTAATCTAAATTGGGAACCCTTTCGTGGACACCATTTCGGTGGAGAATCATGTCCACCAACCACCTTTGATGGGGGTCCCGATTTACATCCACAAACAAATGGCCATGGGTCAAAATCCCGTACCCCCAGTGAACATCCCAATCCCCACTAAAATAGACTAAAATGGGTGGTGAATTCAAAGTGGTATCTCATTGGCTTTCACAACCACAGCAATATCTCTAGGGGTCGATTCCAACCATTCTTTTCAGCCATCGTTTGTTTTTCAAAAACCCAGCCATTTCCCCTGGGTTTTTGGTGGTTTTCGAGAAAGAAGAATCCCTGGATTAATGGAAATGGAAGGTAGCACTAGAATAGGGTAACCCCAAAATGGTAACCCTGGTAAAGGAAACATGGACCAAAACCCGCGTAACCCCTCCTGGCTAATTTTGACAACCACAGCCCCGCCCGAACCCCCAATCCCCACTAAAATAAAGCCTAAAATGGGTGGTGAATTCACCTACCTCAAAGTGGCAATTACCATTGGTTTTGACCACCACAGCCATATCATTCTTTGGGTTGATTCCAACCATTCTTTTCAGCCGTCGCTGTTTTTTCTTCTCAAAAAACCCAGCCACATCCTTCGTTTCCGCAGCCATCCCCCGGTTCGCTTTCGGACGCGGAGGCGCTCCACGACCACAATGTCCCCGTCGATCGCGCGGTTCAGCGCCAGGCGCCCGGAGACCTACCGAGACGACCCCTCCAGGTGGTTTTCCTGGTGGTTGCCCTACACCATCCCAAAAAGGGGTATTTCCTATTTTCTGATATGTGGGTGTTTCTCAAAATTGGGAGCTTCTCATCCAAAAAGGGGCCATTATTCCTATTTGGAGACACACCCAGCTGGGAATGGCGCACGAATCTGGGTGTTTCTCAAAATTGGGGACGCCAAACTCTCAAAGTATTCACGGATTTCCCAGGTGGTTTCCTGTTGGTTTCCCTTCCACACCACCCAAAAAGGGGCACTCTCCTATTTGTAGACACACCCATCTGGGTTAACACAGAGAATCATGGTTTCATCTTGCCAAGATGCTGCTTCCTACTTCGGCTACCCTGAAAAGTAGAATAATTTAAGTCTTGGAGAACACTCCCAGAGAAGGCACGAGAATTGGAGAAGCTTCGGTTGTGGGGATTTGCTAAATGGAAGCCACGAGCATAGGGGCAGAAGGTGCGTGATTTCCAGAAGAACATGGTGCACCAAAAAGAGATTGGCATTTTTCCTCTTTGCCACTTTGGCCCGAAACAATTGGCGATGAAGCGGGAGAGATACGAATGACCGACACTTGAAGCATACTGAATATGTCTTTATACCCGCCACAGGGAAAGGACGAGTGTTGTTGGGGTACTTCTGTGCAAGGCTCCATGTTAGCGGAAAAGGAGTTCATTATCTTTGGAGAGGCCTTCTGTTTCTTACATACTGCGACGAACACAACACTTCAATGCTGACTTGCTAAACAAACTCCAACAAAAACAATGTCCGCACAAATTGTTCGGCGTGTCGGACATGTCAATGACACGACCTGGAGAAAACAAAGAAGAGGAGGGGCCAAGCACCGCGCGGCAAGTGTGTGACGTTCGCGCTTTGCAGCATTCCCCGAAGCTTTTCCGGAACACCCAGCTTGTCCTGAGTTGCACTAGGCCCTGGTCCGCAGCCCTTAATTAAGGCGCCGCGGCCATTTTGGGGGGTCTGCCCCTCAAAATCCTGGAAGATACGCACAATTGAGTAGTACCCGAAAACCTCAAAAAACTTGCGAAGCACAAATAATACTTCGCTTCGAGCAACCCCCACCCTCCACACTCACGAGCTTACGACCGTGAACACGGTTGTGTGAATTCAAGCATGGTTTTCGAGTGGCTTGGGGCCTTATCCGCCTGTCTGTGTGTCAAACTCCACTTGTCTGCGGGCCGATCTCGAGAACTCAAACATCGGACCCGTTAACAAAAGCCAAGCCCCTTCCAAAAAAAAGCCCGACGGGGGATTAAACAAAGTTGCTTATTCACAACCCGAACCAACACAAAAGCATCACCGTTTCCGAGCCTCAGGGTACACTCAAAGCACGCAGACACCAACATGAAATGTAAACCCAACAGTGCGCCGGGCGGGACATTAAGCAAACCCAGACTGGCAAGCTGCTCTGGCGGGATACTGGCGGGATGCACTGGCGAATACTGGCGAGCCGCTCCTGCTCGATACTGGCCGGATACTTGGCGGGATCCACTGGCGAGCTACTCTGGGATGTGGCAAGCTGCTCTGGCGGGATACTCGACGGCATCCACTGGCGGGCCGCTCTGGCGGGCTCTGGCGCGATACCCGGCAGGATCCACTGGCGAGCAGCTCTGGCGGGATACTGGGCGGGATCCACTGGCGAGCAGCTCTGGCGGGATACTCGGCGGGATCCACTGGCGAGCTGCTCTGGCGGGATACTTGGCGGGATCCACTGGAGAGCTGCTCTGGCGGGACACTGGGTGGGGGCGTGGTGTAGAAGCATCGCAAACTCCGATTCCAATCTAAAATCTAACAACCCCTTCCTGTCGGGTGGGAAAAAAAACAAAAACGGGCCACAATCACACTGCCCGCGGCCTGAGCAAAGTTTAAGGGATTGACATAGCCTAGACTAGAGGGGTGTATGTTTGACTTTAAAGGGATGTATGCATGATTTGTTTGGCATGAGCGCATGAATCAATGAAGGCAAGAACGAGAATCCCAATGGATCTGTCAATCTATGCATAACCATGCTGAGAACAACAAATATGAAGTAGCTGGTTCGTAGACTTCTACAGGCTGGCATGTGATTGGCTAGGATGCAGTCTGCGGAAGCAAGCGCCAGTGCAAACGAATTACCAGAGTTTACCGATAGGTGGTGAGGATTCGTGAGAGGCAAGAGAAAAGTGACCCACCTATTCACCTTCTCTTCACACTATCCCTCCTAAAGTTGTGTCCGTGCGATAAGGGGTGTGAAGAACAAATGGATGGGTGCATTGGCCTCTTCAAAACCTAGTGTCGGGCACATCGGGGCTTTGGAAAACCTTTTGTCATTGTTACTAGGTCCTCCAGTAGAGAGGTTAGAATAAGGGCACCCTTTTTCTGTAGTCTATTTTAGTAGGGGAACCCTCCCCCCAAAAAGGGTAAAAGGGCACTACTGGGGGACCTAGGTTAGAAACCTTTTGGATGGCTCAACGAAAATCTCCCCACTCGCCTCCATCTCCTCCGTGCCGCCGCACGTGACGCTGCCGTGCCTCGGCTTTTTCCCCGGTTCCGAAGACTTTTGCAAAAGGTTGGGTCAGACTTTGAGAGGATACACACAACATTGTGTTTATTTCCTGACTTGTCCATTTTGACCACCCCAAAAAAAACACCCTCCAAAAGAAGACACCCCCTACTTCTTTTATCCGAAAACATTCGTATCTTGATCGCTGGCCGTCGGGCGTCAGCAGGGTTTGGCAAGCTGATCAGTCCAGTGGGTGTGTCTCCTGCAATGCCGAGCCCTGCAAACAGCTTTGGGCCTTGCCAACAAACTGCAGCCCAGTCTACAAAAGGTCGCTACCCCTGTGTGAGTTGGATCCAGCGCCAGTTCTGGCAATCCAACTGGAGGGCTGGAGGGCGAAAGCTCCTCAAAGGAGTCTGAAAGCTTGGGCGCGAAAGCCAGACTGCAGCCAATGTCAACCGGACATAAAACTCATCGACGTGGAACAAAAACAAACAAAAAACATGAGGCTTTTCCATGACGATGATCCATGGTCTTTGCTTTGCCAAGCTGCAGGCAGGTGTTCATGTGCATCCGGAGCACCCCTTGGAAGAGCTTCCGCTCCTTGAGGCCCTTCTCCACCTCGCTGCCCTTCAAGTGCGCTGGGTACACGGAGCCCGGCACCGTCCTCGGAACGGCGGTTTGGGCCCCAGCAAGATCTCGTGCTTTGTTGGTCCCCTAAAGGTTTGACTTGGGCAGGACACATGGAGTAAAAGCTTCCAACGTCAAGTCTAAACGTCCATGCCTCAAGAAGTATGGAGTCAATCCGCCAACCCTGGGCGGTTGGTGGTGTTGGGCAGGTTGTTGAGGGGATTCCAGGAGATTCTTGCAGGTAGCAAGCACAAGACATTGGGAAAACGTGTCAACCCCATATCAATATACTATGTCGATGATCAATAGTGTTGTGTTTAGCCCACAAGTGAAAGATTGCCTTTGAAATGGGACACTCCTTGCCCTCATCGACCTGGGCTTACTAAACCTGGGTTTTGTGGCCAAACCACATGGAAGCATACCAAGTCTGTGCTGGGTGCTGGGCTTTGATCGACATAGGCTATTCACTTGCATATCCGGCATCGGGCCTGGGATTGGCACTTGGGACTGGGTGTGTCTAGTGCCTTGCGACCAACCTGCCGACACGACAACTTCAACGCAAAGGAAGCTACCTTGCATGGGAGTAAACGGTTGGGGCAAGTTGTTTCCAAAGGGCTGGCGTTTTCCCACTTTGTTCGGTGACCCGGGTAGAAAAAGGGAACCCCGCACAATGGGGATGGCCGGTTTAGTGAGCAGCCACCAAGCAAAAGGGCCAAAGGGCAAAAGGGCGAGTGCACTGAGTAGCTGGGCCTTGGCTTTGCTAGATTGGAGTTGGTTCTTCCATTTCCTTTTTCGCCCCCTGGAAAAATAACCATATTTAGTGATCAGATCCCTTTACAGCCAACAAGGGAACATAAGAAACATGAAGCGAATGTTTAGTTTTGCCATACCGAGCCACCGTTCATGCCAGAGCCGAGATTCTGCCAGTGGGTTGGCTCACTTGGGCACTTCAAACAGCTTGCCCGGAGTGGCCCACTCTTGGGGGCTCACGGGTCCATGTTTTTTGCGGGATTCCTCCTCAGATTCAACCCGGTTAGATGCGTTCGCAGTGTGATTTCCCGTATTTGTTTAATAGTCTATAGGTAAACCAATGAGTATGTGTCAAAATAGGGGAACCCTCCAACATCGTGGTTTGCCTTTCGGCATCCCTTTCAACCAACACCCCAAAACCTGTTTCCTCAAACAACACAAACACACGCGCTCATACACACTCACGCACACACACACACACACATGCCCACATGGCCACTTTACAAATCAACGCAAAGGGAAAGCATGCTCAACATGACCCAAAAAACTCTCAAAAATGAGATGTGAATTTCCAAAATGAGATTTGAACTTCCAACAACATAAGAACGTGCTTTAGGCGCTTTCGAGGCCGAAGCGCGTGAAGTCTTTCCTCTTCTGCCCCCGGGGCGTCGGGACAGGCGTGGCAGATGCGTCCTCCTGAACTTGGCGGATGTCCAGGTCACTGAAAGGTGGCATGGCATAGGTGTCCTTTTGGACAAATAGATAGGGTTCTTCTGGATGGAATCAAACCCATCTAAACCCAGTGGAACCCTTGTATTTTTAACCAAACTAACCGATCAAAAGGACACCTATGGTATCTGGGCTGCCCTCAGATCCCCTGCTAAAAGTTTAACTTGTGGGTTCAATGGAAGATACCACTAAACCCTAAACACCTAAAAAGCTAAGGGGATGGCTGGGAGCCACCAAGGTATGTCTCAAAATTGGGGACCCCTCCGGCAAAAAAACCATGTGGTTTTCCACGTGGTCACCCCCAAAATGGTACCCCTAAAGAAAGGACGAGCCACCCACACGTCTGTTTTGTTTGGGGGGCTCTGTGGGTTGAGAACTTTTCGGGGTGACACATGTTGGTGGCAATTCTAAACAGAATATCGGTTGCTCAATAATCTGGACATCACCCACATCTAATTCGCACGCAACTTTACCACCTGCTCTGTGGCTTTTTCGGAAAAAGGAGCACGCTTTGCTCGTTGTCCATTTTCTCGGGAACCCTTCCGCTCCTTTGGGGAGTGGCGATTTAATTTGTTTGGCCCCAAACAAACCCTTGGGACATCAGACTTCCGAGATTCACTAGGTCCCCCATGGAACCCCAAACCTGGCCAAGTCAAACCCTAAACCCTAAAGTCTTGGAACCCCGTCCCCACTCTTCAAACGCGCCAAGTCAAAACCCCAATGGAACCAAAAACTGGTGGCTCATGGGACCCATCTGCGCTTGCCTCCTCGTCCCTCAGCGCCAGCTTCTCGCCCGCCTCTGGGAACCTCAGGTAGCGCTAGGCTCGGGAAACCGCTGGTTCTTGGCTTTGGGTACACAGAAAATCTGAGTTGTCTCGCTGCTAAAAGTTTGACTTTTAGCGGTTCAATGGAGAACCCCATTCGTTGGCAAAAAGTCAAAATCCTAACATCCAAGCAACATGCACCAAAGGTCTGATTCTGCCCACCAGCTAACATGGGTGTGTGCAGAGACGCCTGTACAAAGACTACTTTCCTCTTGGGCCTTTTTGCACAAACCCATGTTAGTTGGTGGGAGGTATTCTAGGGGACACCCCCAACCATTATGAGGGATCCGAATCTTTCCAGAGAACCAGCAGAACAGGGAAACAGCGATCTTTTTTTTTGACAAGAAGGATGATGGAAAAGACTGGAGAATGAACCCCCAGAGTTGTCTGCTTCTTACTTAGGCTACCCTAAAATATGACTTAACATCATTTTGGAGACCCCAGTTTGGGTTGAAACCAACTAGAAGCCGGAGCCCGGTGCTGCAAATATCACAGTTCAAAAACAAGAAATAAGGAAATAATGGGATTCCCAAGGTTGTTTGCCGTGCAAAATGAGCTGTAACATAGGTAGGTCCAGGTGGCTGCAACTCTCAAAAACAGGTTCCCAAACCCCAGATCCATGTTTAGCAGGGAGGGAACCACCCTTCAAAGACCCAACGGAAATGGCTGGTTGCCTACCATAAGGCCAACCGGGATCTGGGAAACTTGAGAAGGGGTGACACGAAAGGTAGGATGCTGAAAAGTGGCCCCCCTAACACCATTCAGGTGCGCATGGAGCTAGCAGCTTGACTATGTTAAGAGGCAATTTCCATTCCGCGAAAAGGGAAGCACTTGTTGACCATGTAAATTGGGCACTGACAAAGCGAGCAAGGGACAAGGTTCACCGTGACTTGACGAGCAAAACGGTGCGAAAAGGCGGACCGAAGTGTGAAGCGAAGCGAGCGAAAAGAGCGGGAAGCTGCCAATCAGGCACTCAGGCGAAGGAGGGGGCAGGGAGGGGGGAAGGGGGGGGGGAGGAATGAGGAAGGGGGGGAGGGAGCGGGGGAGGGAGGGGGGGAAGGGGGGGACGGGAGGGGGGGGGGTCCAGACCCCCTCAGTCTAGCCTTGCTAACGCAAGGACAAACTCAAGCTAGCCTCCTTGAAGCCTCCTTGAGGCTACCTTTCTTGATTTTCTTGCGAACACCATCCAACTTCATTTGAGAGCCAGCAATTCCCAGAGTCTTCGTGTCCAAGAAGAATTGGATCATGGGAGGTTCTTAACATTAGTCCCCCCCTGAAGTGGTGAAAACAACCCCACAAAGGGTACTATCCAAAAAGACACACGTTCATGTTGGAATGTCCAAGGTGAGTCTGATGGCCAACAGCATTCACTCGACAGGAACTGAATACTTGCCGCTGAAGGGGATTGCCCTTGGTATCACAGCAAGTGGAAAAGTGAAACAAGCAAACGAGATATCACCCATCCTTGACCCAGATCTCAGGTGCTTCTCAAATTCAGCGGACTTTCAATTGGTTTCCCTTTGATTCAACCTAAACGCATTGCCCTCAAAAGAAAAAAAATAAGAAACAACTCGGTGGCTTTTCTCAAAGTCCGGGTCCCCCAAAATCGCTAGCGGCGAGTGGCCGTGGCTCAAAAACCCGGAATTCCAAAATGGGTTGCCCTGGTAAGTGGAAACATGGACCAAAATCTGCGGTTTGCCCCTCCGATCGTTTAATTTTGAGCCACACCCTAGTGGAAATCAAGAGGAAACCAACCACCACAAGTTCCCAACTTTCAGCAACTCCGAGCCCCGCGGTGTGTGGAATTTTAGTCGGGGACCCTGTGAACAAAAGTTCCTGTTCCTTCCCAGGTGGGATCAATCTACGAGTGGCTTCCCGAAAGCTAAAACAAATGGTCAGTTGGAAGGGACCTCCCAAAAGGCAAACGGAGAACAACCTGAGGGTGAAGATTTAGAAGTCTGCAAACCCATTTGGCCGTTTCGGGACCCATTGATTTGTTTTTTTGCCGAATACCACGGTGTCGCAGAAGGTGTGAACCTCCCCGCAAAGGGGAGGTTCATCTTTGGCATGCGCAGCGCCCGTTTCACCTATTGACGAACTTGCTAAGATGGTCAAAAAGGTGAAAACAAGTCCTTACTCTACCCCCCAAGAAACCATCATGACCCCTATAGAATGCTGCACCTCCTTTAACGATAGGGTCCTCTCTTGTAGAAAGGTGTTTTCCTAAGTCAGGATCCTGTGACTGTTCAGGGGGGCAGCATTAAAGAGAGTCCAACATCACCTCCATTTGCTGAAGCCCCCTGGAGAACATGCGAAACAATTGTCCAATTAGTGATGGATTCCCTTCAAAACCAACTCCAGGGAGTATAAATAAATATACTATACATTCCTCAACAACATAATGAACATATTCCTTTCAGCAAGATCAACCCAAGGCCCATCTCTCTGAGGCGCTTGGGGCGCATACGCTCCACAAACTCCGCCGCCCGAAGCGCCGCCAGGCCATCCTGGCGCGCCTTCTGCTGGCAGGCGCGGTCGTCCGTCAGCAGCAGCACCTGCGGGAGGTGTTGGGCAAAGCCGGGGCCCGCGGGCCCCGTGGCCCTGTGGCCACGGAAACCCGGCAAAGGCGTGGTCCAAAATGGCGGGGGGCCTTCTAAAAATGGGGGCTGCGGTGCGTCTGTGTGTGGTTTTATCGTTCACGCAACATCGGGGTTACACACCCAAATGGATGGAAACCTGCAGGAAAAAGTTCAGGTTGTGGCCGGCTCACTGGTTGTTCCTCCCCAAAGTCTGGGAGATTTTGCCCCGGGCCATCGGGTTCGGCTCAAAAAGACCAGCAACTCCAAACGCGAGAAGTTGTTTTGGGGAAAAACTGAAGAGCGGCCTGAAATTGAACACATCGCTTTGACGTCAGGGAAACTACAAGACCAACAACCTAGCAGAAACGTGCTAGCTCCGATCTGGATCATGCAAGCAACACATCGAGTCTGAGTCGCAACCCGCAGGAAGCCTGGGAAAGCGGAGGTGTTACACCACAAAAAAAACGGGAACATACCGCATAATCATGTGCACAATCCTCGGCTTCAAGTCGAAACTTCGAATCTGGTCAGCTTGAGCATGATTCTGAAGGAAGCCTACACGCTTGACTTGCGTCAGCGAATCGGGAAGTGTGTCCAGTTGGGCAATGTCAAAACTGGTTGGCTTCCTTTCGGAAGGGCTCCAAAAGCGGCTGGGCTTGATGGGGGTTTGGACAAATAAAACCAATCTAGAAATAGAACCAATCTTTCGTTCAAATCTTAGAACACCGGACAACTACTCTCCCTCCAATCATGCGAAATGAAGTCGGGAGCCCGCTGTCCACTTGACTGTTGGAAACAGGGTAGTCTAGGTCCTCCAGTAGAGAGGTTAGAATAAGGGTACCTTTTTTCTGTAGTCTATTTTAGTAGGGGAACCCTCCCCCAAAGAAGGGTAAAAGGGCACTACTGGGGGACCTAGTCGTTTGCGCAGCGCCCGACTCATGTGTTCAAACATAGTTGCCACCAATGCGCTGATGAGCACAGAACGACTTGGAGGGTCCCAATCCATCTCCCGCCCCTCGCGGAGGGGCCAAGAAGGACAAGAACTTTTGGTTTACCACTATGGCACTATGTTCTTCGTGATCTAAACAATTCCATCTTATACTTGGTTGACGTTGGAAGGGGAGCAACAATTTAAATTTTAGCAGTTAAGTGGTTGGATTTCCCACTAAACCACAATAGGCAAAAATGTAAAGTGTGTCCCAACGGCAACCATGTTATATACATCGGAACTCACGGCTCAACTTCGCTTTTTCGGGATTGGAGGATTCCCATGCTCTTCCTCAGCTCAGGGAATGAGAAATGGAATGACCCCTTTTGAACCATCCATCCTACGGCTTCCTTCGAAGCCACCACCCGGTCTCGTTCAGCTCATTCCCCCCCCCCCCCCCCGCAAGTTCTTGAGCGCGCCGAAGTCCCGAAGCTCGCCTCTGGGCCCACGATGTGGCGCCGGTACCAATGCGCCACCCGGCGGATGGCCCGGTCGTTGCGGTCGTTCTGACTCTCCGCGGGCTGGCGCTCCACGTAGGTCTCACGGAAGAACCTTTCATGAAGCTGGGGGGTCTTATGACTTGGCCCGTACCTGGGGTACATATATATATATATATGTATACATATGCATATTATATATAGTATTATATATATATATTGAGTGACTCTGTTCCATATCTGGTCTAAAAAATATGATTGGAGACCAGCGAAGTGCGTTCGCTTGACCGTGACAGTCCATGTTATGCTCTACTCGAGAACTTTTCTGCAAAGGGCCGTCAAGGTGCTACACATGAGGAGCGAACATGTCGTGCTCTTTGCTTGGCGTGCTTTCTTTGGCCAGTAAGGGTCTATCATGGAGTACATGCTCCACGCACTTTGCTTAGCATGTTCTGCCAAAAGACAAAGGGGGGGCTATTTTGAGAAACTCTGGGGGGGATTTTGTTTTTGGGGTTACTACCCACTCAGCTGAAACAGGCCGCTAAGCAGCGTGTCTTTGCCCTCGTGATCCAACCCCCTTCCCCCTGGTATATACAATCAATATGATCCTGATAAGGCCACATTAAGGCCTCTAAGGGTATGGGAGGAGGGGAGGGGTGAAATCCCATGAACACAGCACAGGACAAAGCCAGAAACACGTGTAACACAAAAACAGTTGAGCAACGGCAACTAGTCGAAAGCCACGAAAACGAAATCAACAAAAAATCTAGTATACTTGCAAAATGGCTTTGCTGGATTCACCACAAGGATGAAGGTTTTCCTCTTGACTGCAGAGTACCATCACCTTTCCCTGTAAAACCAAAAAACAAAAAAGCTTGACGCACGCGAACCATTTTCGCATACAGGCTGGCCTGTGTTTGACAGTGTACAGGGATGGGTCAGCCTGTGTTCAGGCAGTACAAACATGTTCACCAGAGTCCCCAGCACTCTAAATCAACAAAGGATCTTGAGTCGAGAAAGCCTGCACAAATCACAAGATGTGGGATGGCTGCATCCTAACCAGGAACGCTTTTGCGGTGTCAAAAGGAAACAACGGCAAACCCGTTATATATTGAAGGCAGGAACTCCATTTTAGGAACCACCCATAGCTCAATGGGCGCGGCATAGTGGGGAGGTCTTCCTTGACAAAGCTGCTCTGGTGGGGGGGGGGGTTCCCGAGGCAACTCGTCCCCGACGCTCTGGTGCAAGGTCTATATATCTGCCTTCAAGTCACTTCCATTTGGCTAAGACCCCTGGAAAAAATGAAAATATGTCCAGTAGTGATAAGTTAATTTTAACACCATCAAGGGAAAACTATAAGACTCTTCAAAGCACCACATTGGTGCTACTGGTACCTTAATCGCGAAACGGTGCATCCTTTACGCCGCAGAAGGATTAGTGCCAAAATGGGAGGATTGCCCAGCTCCACTGGGCAGCTCCCCTCAGCAGCTGATGGGAGTAGAATTGATGCCACTTCCACAGCGAGGGAGGAATCCTCCCACCTCACCGGATGCCCTCCCGGCATCATGGGTGAGGAAGGAAAGTAGCGAAGATCAGCTTGATCAATTCGCTTTCGACTGAGGGGAAGACCCGGTTCTCAGTCGGAAATTGCGGGTCCGGATGAGTAAGTTCATCTGCCCATGTGTTAAAGTCGCGCTTCACATGCGACGGTCCTAACATGACCTGGTGGTCATGCAGTGTTAACACAATTTCCATGAGGATGGCCGCATTGGGCATCCTGCGAGTGGAATCGTAAAGCAGGGAGAAAACGTTTCCCTGGTTATCACTAGCAACCAGAATCCTAGTGTGAGAAGCCGAGCCGGCTGCACAAAGCAGAACAGCCCTCACCAAAAGGAGGAGGCCGAAGAGCTCCAAGGCCGCTATCGCCCGCTGCGGGTCCCCAGTAGTGAAGGCCCACGGCTCGCCCTCCGGTGTGATTCTGTGCTGGAACCACTTCACACGGGACTTGTCGGGGTTGGACACGTCCGAGCACCAACCACCAACCCATGCATGGTCCGCCTGTTTGCCAGCTCCCGCATCAGATGCCCCCATCCATGGAAGTGTGGGAGCAAATGGAGATGCCAGTGGGAACCTCTGGTTGAAGAGTTTCCCCAAAAGGATGGCCAGAGCACGAACCAGCTTCGGTGGCCTGCCCGAAGTGGTGCAGGCCTTCTTCCAGCTCCAAAAAGGCTGGAGGAAAGGTTTCGTCAATGGGCACGCCGAAGTAGCCCATTGAATCCGGCCCAGGGCTTGTTCCACCTCCTTGCTGGTGAAGATGTCCCCCTGGGCCAGCCGTTTAAGAGTGGCCAGGATTATGACGTGCTTGACTGGAGCCAGCAGTACACAGGGCGTGATTGGGTCCACCACAAATCCCAACCAGATATTGATCGGGGAGAGCGCCGTCTTCTTCCAAGAAAGCGGGACTCCCAGCGCCAGCAGAGTAGCCAGGATGACTGTGGCGTCCCAGTCCGCCCGGCTGCATCACCTGAGGGAAGATGTAGTACAAGAGTCTGAGCACCAAGGATGCCTTTCTTCCCCAGTACAGTTGTGCCGAGGCCATGCCGTACGTGCCCACTCTGTTGACCCACCACCGGTTCTGGATGCAGGCCACCTGGTATTTCCAGTCTTTCGGGAGCACTTTTATACGCCTGTGGGCCTTGGTGACATCCGCCTTGAGGATGATGAAGGTTTCCCCATGTGTCGGCGGCTGCCACATCAGGGGTTCCCCCCTGCTCCCTTCAGGGCGTTCCGTGCCAGGGGGGGTTGGGGGGAATGGGGCCCTCCTATCAGGGCCCTCGGCACCTGGGAGTGGCCCCTTCCCGTCTTGGCCCTGGGGGCGGCACCTGGGGACTGCCCCTGCACCGGCTGGTGACCGCCGCTGTCCTGAGCCAGTGGATGGCATGGAGGCAGTCTCCAACCATCGGTGCAGTGGTCTTCTCCCCCGTATGAGCCTGGATGTGTGCGTTTGCTCCCCCTTTTGAGCCATCGTAGATCGTCCTGATCTTGTCTGACTCATCAATCCCCGCAAGGGGGCCCGGGCAAAGTTCCTCCGGTTTGCAGCGGCACCTCTCTGCCGCCTCCGACCGGGTGAAGGGCCCGTCCACCATGTCCAAGGCTCGTTCCTCGTAAAAGGTTGCCTCAATTTCACTGGCAAAGAGTTCAGCCGTTGGGTAGTTATCATGGGCCACCGGCGGGGGGGGGTCTTCCCCCAGCCAGGCTTCTCCCTTAAGCTCCTCCTTAGTGGGCCAAACTCCCGGGGAGGTCAAGGTAGGGTCCGAGACTCCCAAGGGGACCCCCTCTTTCAGTGTTAGGGGGAACTCCCAATCAGGGTCACCTGAAAGGGATGCCAAGTGCGACACTAAGTCCAGGAGGAAGGGTTGTCCTGGGCATCGTTCATGGAGTAGGATAGCCCGCAGCTCCTCGAGGTCGGCTTCCTGGAAGGGGTGTGTGGTGGCACCTGATGCCAGGGACATTCGGACCTTGTCAATCCAGGGCCGGGTAAGGGTCATGATCAGGGCGCCCAAAGTAGCCCATGGGGAAATTCTCGGAAATTCTCCGAAAAGGGGGGTTGAGCCTCCCTGGGGAAGGTTTTCCCCCCCCATCCCTCAGGGGGCGTGAGCGGAAACCCAATTGGACAATCGCCACCCGGTCAGTGAGGTGTGGGACCCTGAAAGCGGGCAGGCATTCGGGGCGGTCCAGGACCTGGTCCCCCTGTCCCTCCTTCCCCAGTTGTTCCGCATCTCCGGCCATCGGGGGCATGGGAGATGGGAAGTCTGGGTTCATTGTTCCACGAGGGCTTACGGTGTCTGCCTCAGGGTGGAACTGCCCGTGCAGGCGGGGCTTCGGGGCGTTCTTGCCTCCGGGCTTTGAGCCCTGGTGTGATGAGGAGGGACCGCCTCCTTGACTGGGCCCCCGTTTTCCCCGGGGGGAATGGCCTTCCGGGGGGTCCGACCCCCGCCCCTTAGGTGGTTCCTTGGGGTTTCCCGGAAATTGTGAGGGGATCCGGATGTGCCCCGGCGCTGCGAGTGACACAGCGATGGCTTTGGCCAGGCCTGCCATCATATCCCAAGGGTATCTGCTAAGAGTCGAGGACTCGTTGGTGCCCACATGTGACTGATGCGTGCACCGCATTTGATCCCAGTCCTGGATCGGGAGATCCGTGGCCAGCGAAGTGGCCTTCTTGACCAGCTGGCCCAGGCGGCACTGGTCGAAGGAGATTGCTGTCAAGGAGTTCTCCTCCATCCAAAGCTGCCCCTCCTCTGTGATCCAGAAGGATGAGCATTCCTTGGCTTTGGGCAGCGAGCTGCTCACCACTGGGTCCTCCGGGTGTTCCAGGAAGGACCTGGGCCCTGGCAGAGAAACCGCCGCTCGTGAGGCCCTTGCCAGGCTGGTGATGTACATCTGTCTCAGAATGAGGATGCTGTCATCATCAAGTTGAGTCTGGGCGGCCTGGTCCAGGTGTGGAAGGCCCCAAAGTGTCTCTGGAGTGCGCCCTCGCACCGGGGTGGGAGCCCCCGGTTTTGGTATGTGGCGCAGGATGGACCATGTCCTGCAGTTGGGTCCTCCTCCAATGAAGACCACTCGGCCCTGCTTTGCTGCCGTGCAAAGAGCTCCATACAGCTCGGGTTGGAGCATATCGTGGTCCCCCTTGGGTCCAGACCGTAGGATGTCTACCGCCACCACCATGCTGGAAAGGTGGGGGTAGTTGGCATGAAGACAGCTGTCCAAGGAAGTAGGGTCCTCCTTGCCTGCATAGAGCAAGACAATGATGGGCCCACTGGATGGAACTTTGGGCGATGTGCCCTGTGTCCATCTCAACCGCTGTACCAGACGCTCAGGGATGTTCTCCATCCACGGGAAGATGTCCAATCCCGGTGACGGCTCCGTTGGACTTGTCAGGGGGGTAGCTGAAAGGCGTTGGCCCCCTTCATTCAGCCCCACCGAGCTCTTGTGGAAAACCACCGGGTCCTGCTTGATGATGTTGGGCGCCGGAAGTGGGATCGGCTGCTTCCTGGGAGTGTCCCTTGGCGTTGCGGTGTGCTGCCAGTCATCCGGCACTCGGGCCTTCTGGGTGCGGCCCCCCGTGTCAGGGCCCTCGGCACCTGCGGGGAACCGTCCCGTCCCCGCCATATCAGGGCCCTCGGCACCTGTGGCTCGGGACTGAGGCGCCGCCGTTGTGCCGGTTGTGTGGCTGTTCTGATCACGGCGAGGGCGTTGTGCACGCTGGTTCTGCCGTCCCCATCCTTGTTCCGCCGAGGATGGCCGCCACCTGGCCTGTCCCCCCCCTGTGTCAGGGCCCTCGGCACCTGCAGGAGGGGGCTTCTGTGCCTGCTTGGGGCGTTTGCGCCCCTTCTCGCCCCCCCGGGCCTTATCAGGGCCCTCGGCACCTGAGGCCTCCCGGGGGGTAGGGGTCAGCGCCCCGGGCAGTCCTGCGGGAGGTGGTCCCCCAGGCAGATGCGGCCCATTGCCAGGATGAGGTTGCACTTGTGGGTGCGGCCGCAGTTGCCCGGGCAGCGCCCGCGCATCCAGTTGTTACAGAACTGGTTCCCTTTCGGGTCGGTGGCTGCCTGCTTGTTACCGCCCCGGGACGCCTGATTGTTCAGGTGGGGGGGCTTACCCTTCCCTTTGTTCCCAGGCTTGCCCTTGGACTTCCCCTTGCCCTTGGACTTGTTCTTGCCCTTCTGAGGTGGTGCGTAGTCCATGGATGTCCTGGTTGATGGGCGGCCCCTGGAAAAGGGCTTGATCTTCTCGTAGACCTCACGTGTCCAGAACAATGTGTCCTGCCTGACCGACAGCATGGCCGCCTTGAGGGTGTTGCCCTCATGCATCTTCTCGTGAATCTTTCGCCATGCGTTGCGTTCGGCAATTGCCAGGACGTGGTCCTCTGGCGGGGGAAAACGGCCCCCGATGTCCTCACCATAGAACCACTCGTACCAGCTCTCCAAGTCCTCCCGGGTGATGTCGAACTGGCCGAACTGCGGGAACGAGAGGACGCACATGAGGAGGGTGTTGCGGAACACCGCGTGCATCCTCTCGAGCTGGTGGCGAGTTTTGGGCTCGCCCCGCTCTTCCACCTCATCCTCCCGGTCCCAGCCATCAACCGTGCTCTTCTTAGTGGTCTTCCAT